CGTCCACAAACGCCAACAGACTGCTCCCTCTATTTTTCTCTTTCATCTCATTCAGGGCGACCGTTCGCCGAGCCGCCTCCTCCACCGGGACGAGTGTCGGCTTACCCACTTGTCTCGTTGAGCCTGATGACCGACCTATTACCAAGTTTGAACGAAGCCCGGAGTGGCCAATGGACACGGCTAGGACAGGGTTAGGCAGCTTGGTCGGCAAGCGAGTGAACAAGCGAGCTTAGAGTTGGCTCAGAAACTCAGGAGAACGCTTCGGTAATGGCCGAACCTTGTCAACAACAAGCTTAATTGGAACAAGCAGAGCTGCTCAGAATTAAGGCGGAACAAGCAGTGCTGCTCTACCTTTGGACTCGTTCAACCTGACGCCAAACCCCCTCCTCCGACATGTATCCTACTGTCCCGTCGATAACGAACGCTACGACAGCGCTACGAAGGACCCCCTGTCTCTCACACAAGGGCTCTTTCGGATAGTTGTGAGCCTATCCGGCGCATAGAGGCGTCTTTTGAAGAATTCTCCCCCAAACGGCAAACAGAACGCCTGATGGCAGGCAGTAGGCCTGTCTTTCAACCGCCAAAGGATCGGAATCATTAGGAGGGCACTTTTGTTCGAGTAGCGAACTGACGGCTCTTGCGATTCACTTGGGTTCCATCATTTTTCGCCGAGCAGTAGTCGCTCGACGTCAGACCTTTCGAATGTATGATTCCTCAGAGCTATGAGTCTCATATGCTCATCGATTCTCCAAGCAATATTCGACGGAAAAAATGAGCGCCTGGCCTCGGAAAGACACGTCCCTGAGAAAAATCTCATATGTGCTGGAAAGAGATGGACCGGAACTGGAACACTGTGGAATCCCCAATCGATCCACAGCCTTGCTAATATTGCTTTTCCCCTGTTTGTTTGGTATATGTCCCACAGGGCGTTCAAACAGCAAGTAGTATTGGGATATGCCTCCGCATAGATCGCTCCGCTCTGCTTGAAGATATGTTTTTCCTCGCCCTGGGCCAAAAGGCCTCTCGACTTCGGCCCAAGAACAACATTCGGCTCACTGGAGGTTCAAACAGTCTTTCTCCTCCAAAAAAAATCAGCTCTCACGCGCGTTGCCAAAGACGGCGGCTGGGTCATGGAAAGATCGAGGAAGATTCCTGGGAGTTGTCCCTGATGAGAGCTGGAATTATCGCTCGACGAGCGGAATCCCTTTTCATCGCATCCATTTCGGTTTCAGAGACGATTTCTCTCCATTCGAAGCATTAGGTCGCCTTCTCAGTTCATCATGCGAATCTCTACATGAAATGAGGCCTCTTGTCGTTCCTGAGTCCTCGGAGCTCCATCATTCGTCTCTGCTGTTTTTCACAACAACAAAAACCTCGCCTAAATCGAATATTCCCACCCAACAGTCTTCAGAATGGTTAAATTCGTCCATTATTCGGTCATTGAAAACTGTGTGTACATACATACGTACATATATACCTACAATGTAGCATGTATACATATTACGATATTACTTATTACGACAGCTTCAATGATATGGCGCTGTTGTACAAAGTCTCAAGACTTCTCGTGAGCATCGTTCAGAGCGCCTGTAACATGATTAGGCTCTGATGAAGATGATGCGCGACGTTTCTCATGTGTACTGGAGCGGTATCCCGCCTCTCCATCTTTGTGGCAGGGCTCGGTAGCCGTCTACTGTGAACTGATTCCGAAGGCGGTGGTGATTACCGTGGCAACTCTCCAGCGAGTCGGTGATCTCATCAAGTGCTTCTCACTCGGTGTCAAGCGAGGTCTGGCTAGCATGGAGGAAAAACGAGTGACAAGCATGCGATCAAGATCAGCGATTGAGCAATCAGCGCGAGCTCGAGCAACCTTCGAAGGAGTCGATCTTGAGCGTCAGTGGTTGTCGGTGCTCTCACTGGTGATCGAGGCAAAAATTCTCCCGGTGTGGTTGCCGGACAGAGCTTCGATTTGTCATTGTGGGTCCTAGAGTTGAGAGAGGCGAAAACGACGTCAGAGATGTAATCATACCGATTTCGAAAGAGGTCGCGAATGGGCTCCAGAACATTTGCCAGTCTCTTAAGTCGCATTCCGGGATTTCTCAGGAATAATTCTCTGTGCTTTTCTTCTGCGTTGGAATCTGCTGAAAGACTCATCCCTGAATGGGAATTTCGAAAAGTATCCTCCGATTTCGAAAGGAGAGAAGACTCGTGGAGCTCCGGCGATGATCTAATCTATACCATAATCTTAGGAAATGAAATCTAGGGAAATTCTTGGCTTAACAAGGTCAGTATAGTCGCGAGTTGCGAAAGCTTACGGCGGCGAGGATCTTCGGTTTCCTCAGCGAAGGGACGGAACATGAAGGCATGAAAAGCGCAGTTCGACGAGATTCGAATCACCTTCAGATAGAGATGAAGCTCAGACTGCGAAATTCCGTCATGGCTGTCAAGATGGGGTGTTCACTCTATCCTTCCAGCTTCTCTAGTACCGACTAATCCGCTTGAGAACCATTGAGCTCATCCCCGGAATAATCGCTCGCTTTCAAGAGGCAATCTCCTGATGCACACCGAGCCTTCGTCGTCCTAGAAATGAGATAATTCAATCGATATATAATCGATCGACAAACCATGAGATCGTTGGCACTCAATTCTTCTGAAACATCTCACCGGATCACTTATATGATAGTTAACTCGCGTGAACGATTGGAACGAAGCCAAAACACCTTCGCGAAGTCCATTCGAGTCGAAAGTTCCCCCGATCAGGACCTCATTTCTAGCGAGCAGTATTCAGCTTGCGCAACGAGTATCACGAAAAGTAGCAAGAAACTGAGGAGGGAAGTCTATTCCCCGAGTCCATGTGATTTTCGCATCCAAGCCTCCGAAAATCGTCGCCTTCACTGTCTGTGGTGCCTTCGACTTCGCGCCCTGCCTGCCAGCGATGGGCGCCTACGAGAATTCCACTTGCTCCACCTACAATCACGACGTCTGACTTTGGAAGGAGCGATGCTCCCGACAAATTGAGATTCGATCCCAGGGTCTCCTTGAACCCCAGATGTGAGCCTCCTCCCTTGGTAACCAGCTGAGCTAATTTCCCCCGATCACATACCCCGTTTTCTGGAGGACCTGGTCGCAGATCTCGAGGCCCTACCCTTTTCGTGTCCGTATGGCCGGCTTCCTCGATATTGATTTCCGTCGTGAGGTCGGTTACTTTCTCTTGTACCTTCACGAGTTTGCTCCTCCACCCGGTTCCTCCGACCATCGGAATCTGGGATTGTACGGCTCTCCTCAACGCAACATCGACTCGAAAATGACAATGAGAAATCTGCGCAGACTTTCCTGTTTTGAGTTGCCCGCCGAGTCTCATATCGAGCTTTTGAGCCCATTCTGCGCTCATGGGGCTTCCCTTTTAAGCATATGAGTTCTGTATATATTGCCTGAGTCAGGAATATCACTCGGAAAACGAATGTCTCGGTCCGAGGGATGGATATAGACCGTTTCTGATGATCGTTGACTTGCCGTCGGCACCTAAGCACCACCCGAACAAGGAGATGTGGCAGCGACTGACTTCTCAAGCTTTCATCGTCCTTGTCGTGCAGACGTCGTCGTGCCTCAGAAAAATACGAAAGATCGTTCCTTGTTTGATTCAGGGAGTCAGTGGAGCGATTTCAGGCTCAAGCGCACCGGTCTTGATTCGACCAGGACCGTATGAAGGAAGATTTGTTGAAGACTTCCGTTCTGAATACATATGGCTATGATGGAGACTGCTTAGCACAGGACAGCCAGGCGAGCGTGAATTAGCCGCATTTCTTCCTTGGAGAAATATCGGTGGACTCCTTGCGGGGCGAGGAACTGAGTGGGGACAATAGCCCGATCATGGCGAGTTCCCGCTCGCATGGAATCCTGTCGGGACATCGAGAACCCCAGTGTTCGGGGGGCGAATGTCGAGAAATGAGCCCGGTCAGAGGAAGAAGAAAGTCATTTATTTATATTCTTCGGAAAAAGAAAGGTACAGGAAGGAAACTGATTCAACCAGAATAGCTACCAAGGCTCGTCAGCTGCTCCACCTATAAGGTGGATCTCGTTGATCATTCTCAGCGCAAAGTTACAGCCATCTCTAGGAGATCACATCTTGCTTAGCGAGAATTTTCGAAGAAATTGAGCCTCACATCATCCTTGGGTTCTCACGGTGGTTGATGACTGCTCTTGGGTCTTGGAGCTAGACGGTTGGATCCCTTTTTCTTAATCGCAAAAAAAATTCGATGTCTGCCAAGTGCAATTATTTCAGGACCGCGACTCTGGATGTGGTCGCTTCACCATAAGGGTATTCGCCGAGTATCGATGCGGGACCAGTAATCGAATGATCGGGGGGGAGCCCCGAGAAAAGAAAATCGTCGGCGAATATGAAACAGAGAAGCTTTTCTGGGTCTAAATCCAGCTTTGGATTGAGGGTATATCTCTTTCCCAATGGTTCCATAATTTGATTCCTCTCTCTTTCGCGAGTCTGAAGCGCAGACTAAATCTTGTCTGACAGAGGTATGTGGAACGTGAGGACTTGTCGATTCTCATATTCTGGGTTTTGACCCTCGGATCGAGTCATCCCGTCAACGGCTCGATCGTTTATCAGGACAGCCCCGACCCGAGCGCACCGCACCTACTGATGCTTTCAATTATCCATTTAGGATAAATGGATCAAAACCCACGAGGAACGATTCTCATTGGGTCGAATCTAAGCTCTCATCGCAATGCTGTGAAGTCGATGTGCACGGGACTTGAGCACAACATCGAACGCCACAGAGCGATTCGCACCGAGCTGACCGCAGATGACAACATTTATTGGCGCTTTCATACAGATGTCACAGCGATTCGATGTGATAAGCACCGGGCTTCAAGCATCGAATCGCGTTCACCTCGTCGAGAGGTTTCCCTCAGCGTGGTTCGTGGGAACGACTGTTAAATGTCTTGTTGTTTGTTGACTTGAATAACTTGCTCGTTTACTGAAGGCAATACGACGGACCCATCGTCGGGTCGCACATCGTTCCGTCTCGGTCTCGAGTTTCGATGGAAGTCGTTGTCCTTCCTACTTCGGTTCTCTGAAATCTGTGTAGGAGAATCGGATTGAACGGTGCTCCCGCGGCGGAATCCATTCTGACTTCGTAACCAGTGGTGGTCTTCAGCCATCCCATCGGGTGAACCGTGAATACCTTCTCTCTTGGTGAGCGGGAGGCTAGATTTCGACGGAGCTCGTGACCTCACTCCGTCATCAAAGAGCCTTGGAAGCCCATATCCTATGGGACGAGCGGTATGTTATGCAGAAATGATCGGAGCACATTCGATGATGCCTCGGGGTCTGGCAAAAGAGAATTTGTTCGTGAGTACGAGGCGAGCGATTCTATCGAGGACTCGAATCACCGAAAACCTCAGGAGCGCTCACTGGCAATTCGCTTCCTTTTCTCGAACTATCACGCTAACCTTATCATCCAGTCTGTTTGTTCGCCTTCGACTCCCGATACTTCGGGGGTAAGTGTTTCGAATCGTTCACGACGGCGAGAGCGTTCACGTCCAACAATTTGATACCTGCAGAAACACAGCACCGTCCTGAAGCAAAAATCCTCGCGAGATCATAGATTTTCATGAGATCTGACGGTCTTTGCTTAGGCGGAAACTTACCGAGAGTCTCTGTTAATGAGGTTACGTTTGCCGGAAGTTGACTTTCAGGCTTCGAATAGAGGAAACTGACGAGTGCGGTTGAGCTGCTTCCGTCTTTATTCCCGTTGGAGTTGTTATTCACCTCGAGGGGTCCGAAGTTCCCTTTCCCATTGAAGTACTGACAACATTCAAGGATTTGAAACAATTTCCAAGCGTCCCTGTCTTTCTTTTTCGGGTACTTCAGGACCGCAATCGGAGTTGCCTGCAGACACGAGGGCGGAGATGAGTTGATGACTCGGAGAAGAACGGCACTGCTGCTCCACTGGACGTAAACACTCACCTCTTCGGCTCTCTGAACTCGCAAGTATCGGAGACCTTTCGGAAGCTCAGACGACAGCCATCGATTGGCGTCGCGTGCGGTCGCGACATCCTTCTTCATTTCGTCAAGCTCGCTGACAACTGAAATTATAGGCTTCACGTCAGGAGTGTTTGATGAATTCGCGTAAATCGGTAACCTCAGGTACGTCTCCCCTCGGGATACGCTCCATGAATTGATGATGTTGATTATTATATATAATAATATGAATGGGGATCGTTGACTACTTGCCGCATTTCGGGATTACAACAATACTGCTCCGTGATGCGACCATGTTCCGGATCAGAGGCAGATGATGAGCGAGTACGGATGCGTCCACGACGGTATACAGGCTGTTCGTGTACTTGATCGATTTCTTCGAACCGTGATTCCTGGAATCCGATGAAAAAGAAATCAGACTTGATCTCGGTCATTGGAATTGCGAGCTCTCTCCTCGAATGAGAGCACTCACCCATTGGATGAAATCGGCAGAGAGTTACGAAGGGATCTGCCATCCAACTTTTCTTCGAGCCCTCGCACCTCGTGCTGCAGCCACGCATGAGCCATCGACTTCATCAGACCTTGTTGTCGCGTGGTTTTCTGACAGGAAGCCGGAAGCGGGGACTTCTGCAATGAACAGAAAAATCCTTTACTGACATCGAGTTTCTGAATTCTCCCCCACGGGGAGTACGGGTGCTCCTGCTCGTGATATCGATCAGGATCAATCCGTATCACATCGGATCCCTTCCTGAGGCTCGCGAATTTCACCTCAGATACTCAAACTTGTAATGGACTGGACCGATGAGCTGGAGGAACTTCGGAAGGAGTTTCCCATCCAGGGTCCCGAAGGTCGGCGCCGCCGTGGCGTTTTCGAAAAGCGCGCCACTCCATCTGACTCACAGTCTAAACAAAAATGGCGCTCTCTGATGTCAGCTGACTGGACAGTCGGGACGGCAACCTGCTCCGAGGATAAGGCTCGTAGCTTCGCGTGGGAACCGAGGCCACATCCATGCGTCGGCTCGACGCTACTTGATCATTCTCATCCTATGCTGCATTTATTCGTGTTCAGTTGAATTGTCAAAATCCGACGCCTATGTCGAAAACTCTCGGAATGGATAGCACGGATTGCGACACTGATATGGACAGTTTGCTGATCCGCTCAGTGGAAAAACTTGATTCCATCATCGCTCTCAGGAATGAGCTCAATCAATACATGGAGACTGGAATGATCGACTTGGCCAGAGCACGTTACGCTACGGGCGGCCCCAGGTAAGAAGTTGGCCCGATAGATTCGGATCAAACGCGGAAATGCCAGACACGGTCTTGAACATCCGTAGGGTTTCATCTCGGGGGAAGGTATCGGTGGCTGAAAGTCCATTACGAAGCCCCGTCGCGTCCTTGAGCGTCGGAGGGATATCGTCATCAGACGTAATTCCTTGAAGACGGGCCTGATCAGAATGTTCGAACTCCGACTACGATTTCTCAAGGACGCGGATTGCCTTCATTCTTCTGAAGGAGGTACACTTAACTAGAAATTTGTCTTTCAAAGATCCACGATTTCGTCCCTCTCGTTCAATTTGGGCCACATGGAAGCTTCGAAGCGCATTAGCTGTGAACCTGTGTCATGTGAGCTCCCGAGTAGCGGCTCCGCACAAAATGACAACGTCCTCACACGATTCCATCTACAACCGCCAGCGACTCAAGCGAACAGAACACTCAATCACGAAGAAGCCCAGCTGAGAAACCGTCAGGTAAGTTCAGCGAATTTCAAGACGGAATCGTTCCCGGCTCCAACCGCGTTCCTCTACCTGAGCTTGACGTCATCGCATTTCTGCAGGTGCCTTCCTTGGGTAGTTCCGGTTCGATCCAGCGAGATTCGCTAGAATCCGACAACGACAAGTCGAGTTCGTCACTTCTAGACGACAGACATTCATCGAATGGGAATACGTCATCAGTCTCCGGGTACTCTTCAGATCAGAGTCGGAGGAACAGTCAGAGCACCAACGATCCACTTCGGTGGTTCGGAATTTTGGTGAGTCATTCTTCGTCAGGCTCATCGACCTCGTGTCTGAGGTGATGATGAGCGACAGCGGGTGGGAAATTCCGCGCCGCTCCGAACCCGATAGATCCTGATGAATTGCATTCGTCCTCCTCCAGGTTCCTACTTCTCTTCGGAGCTCCAAGCAGTGCTTCGATCGAGCGTTGGAGATCCTTGCGGAAATAGCATCTCAGCAAAATGAGCTCTCGACCATGCTGGATCGTTTCCAAAAACTTCGACGGAACTCAGGGAGTCTCGATAAGAACCTCAGGGATTTGAAGCTTTCAGAACAAAGTAAATCCGTCGCCGTCAACGATAAATAGAATTGTGAAAATCGGAAGCGGATGATTTCTCCAACTATTTCCCGACTTGTTGTTGACCATTTGTTGACCGTATTGGAGCTCAAGATCGTTCAATGAAGCACTCGCGAGACTGTGACTCTTCCATAATAAACTATCTAAACTCCCTTTTTGTCTATCGCGAATCGTGATTTTCTTCCGATCAAATCCGAGCCAAGTGCGATTGGGCGAGCGGTTTTAACTGTCAAGTTTCGGGGTGGACTCACCTCGAGTTGAGCTTTGAGAGATTCCAGAACGTGATCTTGGAGGATGATTCTCTGACCCGGGATTATCGAGACATCAGTTTTTGGGAGAAGCTCACAGAGCTTGCCGATGACATCGTTGATGTAGTGCAGACGGAAAACGGATCTCTGGCCATCTGTAGAGACCTGAGAGCGCTTCTCCCAGCTCTGAAGCAGAACGGCATTCGAGAGGGGCGGCTTATTCTGCAAGCGATCCATCAGCAGCGAGTACTGAATGTCTTCCGGGAGTGGGACAGAATTCAGGGCGAGTCCCTTCGATGTCAAGCGAGTCAGCTGCTTACGAACATGCTCGATTGTGCCGTCTGCAATTAGACCGTCTGCTCTTCAGCAAAGTAATGGTATGCTTTTCGTTCCATGATCTATTTAGGGAACGATGAGCTCTGCCAAAATTGTGCTTGTGGAAAGATTCGAGGAGGGGTGAATTCTGTGGGGGGACGTACCGGAGCTGCCCATGACTCTGTGCAAAAGAACGGAGACGAGGTTCGAGAAATCACACGCCCGTTTGATGAAGCACATGTCGATATTCTTCGTCGCGGCATCCAGAAGCATCCAGTCCAGGGAGAGTTTGATAGCTCCCATCATTCTTTCAGAAATCACCTAAGATGAGACGGGTGATGAGAATCCGCGAGATCGGCGTCAAGTCACACGAAACGTAGTCGACAAGCGGACAGCACTCTAGATTCAGAATACGTGAATTGACTTCCAACCTGTTTGACCAGCTGTCTGCAGCTCAGAGAGGAGTTGACAGTGAATTCTCGAGAGAGTTGATTGACCGGGGATGAACTGTGTACGCTTCGCTTCCCTTCAGCCTCTGATGCGACTTCATCATCAGATGAGAAATCGTCTTCGGAATCGACGGAACTTTCTTCGGATGTTTCCGACGGGGTTTGTTCGTCTCCCTGGCCGTCTGAAATTCATAGTAAGGCTCGGATCGTTTCGAAGAATGTCCTCTACTGCTTCGGTCGCCCTGACTCGAAATTCGGTCATTCTGATCGATGTTCGTGCCCGTACCTGAGCCGTTGGAACCGGGTCTGGTTCTACGACGAGAGTCAGCCTGCTTCGCCGTCATCTTCGTCGCCGATTCGACGAAGCTGATGATCTCGTGATCATCATTCTCTTCGTCAGAGCTGTCCCCGAAGGCCTTACGTCTGCGTCTGTATTTTGCCCTCGGACGCTTTGGGATTATGCCCTCCCCTGGAGCGGGAATAGTCTCTACCGGTTTCACCGCCGGCGCATCGTTAGAGAACGGATGTTCGAGGCAGGTTTTCATGCAGAGGTTGTGGTAAACCTCGAGGATCATCCTGGTGCTGATAACAGTCATCAGCTCTCTCACAGTCTTGGTGTTGGTATGTGTCTCATCCTGAATGATGGACCGTGATTAGCTCCGGCTCGTTTACCGACCGATTATTGTCGTTGTCTACGGATCGCAAGCTACATATTTGGCCGTTGTCTTACCCTATGGAGGTTCCTCATACGTTCATCTACGGCGAGTAGCACGAGGACGCAGTAGAAAAGAACGCCGCTCTGGAAACTCTCGACTTTCAGGACGTCGATGACGGTGGACACCGTCGACCTGTCGGGGACCTCCTCATTCCAGAGGGACTCGACGATAACGATGAAACTCCTCACGTGCAGCTCCTCGTGATCCTTCCCCGTTGATTGGGCGGTGCTGCGAGCTTTCTGCAGAGCCACGCGATTCTTGTCGAAGGTCGCCTTGAGGTTTGAAGCTCCTCCGATGAAGGGTTCAGGACTTAGGAGGCACCGCAAAAAATAATACAGCGATCGCAAGCTGTACAAGGTTGTGCCCTCGAGAGTACCCAGCTGATTGTAGGGCTGGCCGACTCGGGGTTGGAGGAGTATTGCTTGTTGGTAGAACCTCAGAGAAGACAGACGGTGAGAACAGGAGTCTTGCTGTCCGCCAAGCTCGTGCAGGTATCGCTCTGACATGGAGAAAAACGTCGACTTAGGGTAGGCTTCAATATGTCATTTAGAAGGTTGAAGCATACATTCGCTTCGAGCAAGAGAGTCGAGAAGTACCGGAATCTCGCCGAATTCCACTCACCGAGATCGCCCTGGGCTATGAGACACCGGTGAGCACACTGTAATGCCCACTCGTTCATCTCATGTACTTTATCGGAGGGAAACTCATCCAGCCGACGTCCCATCGACTCGCTCGGTCTGAAACGCGTCGGGATTTCTTTACGGTCAGATTTACGACTCGGAATGCAGAGTTAACATCTTTTTGATCGTCTCATCAAATTTCGCGACTTAAATCATCGTGCTCGCTCCACCCACCTCAGGGAAACGTCCATGATGCCAGACAAGGGCACGCCGAATTCGTCCTCCAAACGGATTAATATCCGATGATAGGCGCCGAGACCCGAACTCAACAGCTGCTGTATCGCGGCGAGCGACCAAGAACTTTTCTCTTTCTGAGGGATCACGGAAGAAATAATTATTCCGCGCTCTGCCATCTACAATTCGCAGCACCGATCCAGGGGGAAGCTCAACGTACCCGGGTTTTGAAGTAGGTGAGTGGTTCGTAGTAGGCTTTCCTCCAGAGAGCGTCTTCAGCCTTGCGCCCGAATTCGAGCGGCGCGCCGAATAACGCTTTCTCCGCGTAGTCTCGCAACTGTTGTCGCAGGAGAAGATCTTGTTTCGATGCGTCGCATCGTCGCACCACCTCTCCCAAAGCCCTGGAATCGTATGAGCCCGTTATTGCTTGATTGCGCAGAGAAATACTTCTGTCCGCCTTCTGGAGGCGGTCACGGAGGATTCCCCGCTGTGGGAATGAGTACAGTCTCCCGCAGTTATTGAGATTAATTCCCGATTGCCTCATCGGGTGTCGGTGACGTAGGTTTGCGTGAGGGGTTTGATTACGTAGGTGCCCTGATCTAGTGCTTCTGCGAGGTTTCCCCGGAATTCCCTCAAGACACAGAGAGGCATTAGGATCCTGCGTATCGCAGTCTCGCGAGTTTAGATGATCGAGGTTCGTCGAGGGTTCTCGACGACGCGACGGGGCAATTGTGATTACGATTGATAACATTCTCGAGGATAGGACTTCTCGAGGACGGAAGTTTGAGCCGCTTAGCTTGTCGGCCCCCAGGAGGCAGGATCGACCCCAGACAGCACTCCCGGTCGCAGGTCGCAGCACGTAACGGATGAAACTTCAACCCGTCTCAAAGACATGTCGGAGCAACATAGGAGGAGCTTCCCACGAATATGGAGACGCTAGGTATTTCGCAAAGCTCGCAATCGCATTCGCTCGACATGCAAGCTCCGTCGATCCCGAAATTAGCCCGGACCCATGAATCCCATCAGAAGACCCGAGATGCCAATAGTAGACCGTTTCTGTCACCTTCATCAAGAATGATCCAAGTCATCGCTTATCTCTGTTCTGCACGATTTCCATTCGAAGTAAAAAAATATGCAGCGCAGCAAGATCGGATGTCTTGGATAGACATCGACGACTCGAGGGCTCGATGGTCGGAATTGTGACATTATTTTGGGTGCTTTTCGTAAGTCGTTGGAAGCCCCTACGACATGAAATCTCACCTGTAGTGCTTCTTAGTCGACTCCGTAATCTCCATTTCGTTGTTTTTTTTGCTTTACACTCGAAGTCGAGCCAATCGAACAAAATTACCCGTTTTCGCTAGTCTCGAACTCGCGCATAGTCACTGAATGGGAAATGGATCACAACAGGCACGCATCCGCTTTATATGCTGGCATCTCTCCGTTCTCGGGGTTGAGGAAGGTTGATCAATTCACACGAACGAGTGAGAATGTTATGGTTCGCACTTTTGCGTGTTGTTGTTGCGCTGATCCTCTGCTAGTATTTGCGGTGGCGGCTGCTAGATGCTGCCCGCCGCCAATATTCCAGCAGCGGCGCCATAGCACTGCGGCCTTGATGGAAGACATCTCCATTGAGTGACGCAGGTCAGAATGGAAAAGAGTCGCTGCGGATCGGGGAGATTTGAGCGACGACATTCATGCCTGAATATTCGGGGGTGAACCGAAAGCGAATGATCAAGGGAAGCTGGTGGAGGGATGATGACGAATCCTTCGTTGATGATCTCTGCTGCATGATGTTCTGCCAACGGGCGCTGTGGGCGCTGATTGCGGAATCTGGACTCGACCGAGAAGAAGCGCTAGCAAGACATTTTTGAGCCTCGACAAGAGCTAAGCGGTGACCCCGAGAGGAAAGACCCCTTTTGAACTAGTCTCGGAGTTCATGAAAGAACATGCATGAAAGTTTCTCTTCTTGGCGATTCGCCTTTGTCTCGAGGCTTTTCTCCTGGTTTCAACGAATTACTCCAAGGTCAATATAGGGAAGCGTGGGGAAGATGTCTCTTCGCGGAAGGCTGTCGATGCTTTATCGTGGCTTCCCGTGTCAGCAGATGATCGGACTGTTTATTCCGCCACGGCTACTGAGGTCCAACAATCACGTGGTCCAGCATGGGTTACGTAGTGGCATATGCCGGAGTTGGCGCGGTTAGAATTCAGGGTTACTCGGAGGCTCAGGTACGTGAGCTGACTATTCCATCCATGATGCTGAGCCGAAGGGTCGGCTCCATGGTCTGTGCTATGTCGATTGAAAAAAAAACTCCTCCGCGAAGAGATGTAGCGTCTCCTGACCGTAGAATGACACAGCCAAACGTTCAATCCGAGAGAGGAAAATTTATTTTCTTCTATGACTGTATAAGGGGCGTGAGAAGATCAGGGCTTTGACGGATCGCTCTAGAGCAGCGGTTTCCGATTTCTTCTCAGCGCGGGACCCTCTCCGAAGTCCTCGGCCTTCTTCGGGACTCCTCGCAGTGTCATTCCAGGAGGACCAGAAGTCGGGGGGTTCGCCAGACAAAGTACATTCCCTTTGTTCATTTCATTGAACAGGATCGCTCAACATAGTTAGAGATTCTGACGTGTTATGGTCGATATTCTTGTGAGCTGTTTCGAATATTCATCATCAGAGCATCGAAATTAGTTATTTTCACCGACCTCCGAGACAGCCGAGGTTAGAAGGAGCCGGTGTCAGGAACCTCCAATGACGCAAGTCACACCAATGGATGAACCGCTCGGATTACCTGCTGCCAATTGATCTGGCTCTCTTTCCTGGGGACGGTCGCAAGTCGACCGTCGGGTATCCGTATCGGATATCGCATGCGAACCTCATTCCGCTGCCCTTGCGTAGCCGGGAGCTGATGGTGAGCGTGTGAATTCAAGGCTGCAAGACTCTCGAATCCATTGAGTATCGATGCTTTTCCGAGAGCTGTCCATGATCCGCCGAGAGGAGAATTATTCTTCGATGCATCAACGGAGAGCAATTTCTCTACATTCCTTATTGGACGACAAGGGAAGTGGTGCCTTCAGAATGAGCGAGGAGCTTCTCGGGTGTAGCTGGAGTTCAAAATATAGGAGGGGGTATCATATTTCGAGGACACATCCGAACGACACCTCGAGGGACTTTACAACGCTACGAAGATTTCTCCCGCAAGGCTCCGAGACGTGCCTCCCGAGTTTCTCGGGAGAGACAGTGGATGGAATTCCGCCGAGGAATGATCACAAGGTCGATAGGAATGCGGTCTACCGCATCCGTTCGACAGAAAGAGCGACAGGGAAATCCCGGACTTAAAAAATCGGATGAGTTAAAGAAATACCGCTGGCGTCTCCATCGGATAAGGGTGTCTCAGTGAGCCTTTCCGTAAGATGCTCTGGGAGATGTTTTAAGACCTCTCCCGGGATTGAGATTGGGAGGGAAGTCAAGACTAAGGAGGAGGGGGAGGGTTGGGAGGGAAGTCGAGAGTTTGGGATGGAAGAGCACTGCGACCTTGGGTCATTCATGAAAAGTGTTCGGTAGAAGCCCTCGAAAATAATTTGAAGCTCGTTCAAGAAGCCATCCACCACCCATGGGGAATTCTCGCTGGAAAACCGATTCTTCACAAAGAAGACTTTAAATGCTGTGGGTACCCGCTGCTTTATTAGGTATCGCGATTGCATGCTCGTAGAAAAGCGGGACTGGACCTCTCAGTCTCTGCGCCTCTTCCCATACATCATCTCTACACTGCTGGTGATTCTCCGCTTCTTATTCGAAAGATAATCTTCCCCCAGTCGCTCTTCCCCAGTAGCCTCGTCGCAAGCGGGCATATTGAAACTCCGTTGGGGGAAATTCGAAAGAGGTTTCTTCTTCCGAACAAGTATCATGAGTGGGGCTCTGTCTTTCTTCGGCGGGTCATCCAGAATGCGCAATCGAGGTAGTTTGTACAGGTGAGCTGTCCCGTCAGTCTTCGAAGACGCAGTTGACGATGAAGACGCTTCACTCAGACCCCTGGAATCTAGGTCGGAGTCAGAAATGTGGAGAACGTCGTCGTTAGCCGACGCAGGTCAGGCTTCTCTCGACGAGCCCACAGAGAGCACGATCGAAACCTGGGTCGTCATTCGAAGCTCACGTTGCACCGCCTCCCCTCTGGCAAAGCACTACGGCTATCTTTCAATCAATGCTGCAATTGATGCAGAAAAAAAAGAGAAAAAATGGAGAAGACAGATACGATCTTGTCCGTACGAGTGAGCGGATGAGTTCCAACCAGGCTCACGACCGACCCCACTCCTTCCGATCGCTTGGTGAAAAATTCCCCCTTGCCCGAGGTGGCCCCTGACTCATCTCCGACTCTCTCATACCTCCCTCTACCACGCGCCTAAGCTCTGACATCGGTTTTTGTACAATTTATCGAGCCTGTCGATTTGGAGTCCGCAACGTTTCGCTCGCCGCCTCTTCGCTCTCCTAAGTTATCAATTCGACTCAATGCAGTCGGATACAAGGAGCGATATTGCATCCACCGCGAACGGCTCGCGCTCTGAGCCTAATGGTCACTGGGTCCCAGCCTTCAAGCTAACGTACGAATTTACGCATCTAGAGCTTACCTGTGCAGAAAACATCAGGATTCAAAAAAGTCGATCGATATAATCCTTTCTTCTTTTCTTCTAATATTAATCTACTCCTCTCCTCGTTGAGCGTTTGAGAGACCGTTTCTGATTGTATGCTGTCATTCCGCGGAGAAGTCTGCGGAACACCAGAGGAGTGAGTAATGAATGATCAGAATTCGAAATATGATACGGATAGAGACGTGACGAGACAAGCATCGATCGATAGATTCATCGAATTCCGCGAGCCATGGGCTTGGGATCGAGGAAGCGCCCGCGACGCGAATGAGCAGCTCCAATTCCGATAGGCTCCCCCAGTGGCTCAAGCCCAGGCTAATACGTCATACATTTGATCCGTGAAGAGCTTAACGAGGTCAAGAGACTACCTTGAGACTTGGCGCCGGGGGCTGCTCGCACGAACAGGTTCGTTCATCACATGTGGAACACATCACGTATTCAATGGGTGCTGCGGCCGTTATGAGACCCAGAGACACGGGGACCGCGGGCTCTGACGGCGATCGTCGTTCTGGAATCGATCGCGGGAGCACCTCTTCCGGAGTATTCTCTCTACTTTTTTTCAACCATCACGAAGCATCATAGGGTGCAGAGTATTCCGGCAGGCCACGCTGTTCTGTCGACGATTCTGCTGGACGTGTGTGTCGTTGTGGCGGTATCCAGCTGTCCACGACGCATTTGTGTAGCAGCACGAGAAGAATCAGCGTGCAGTAGATTTTCCAACATTGAACACAGAACTCTCCTCCCCTCTCTCCTACAAAATCAGACTTGATTTCATCACCTGCATCTCAATCCAGAAATACTCGGATGAGGAAGACAGCCTCGATCTCAGGAACCTTCTCTGCTCGGATCGATACTCTTCCTCGATACCCACGCATGCACTCCGTCAGCAGAAAGGTATCCCGAAGCCGGAGAGAAAGAATGAAGTCGTCAAAAAACCTTTTTCGGACCACACGGAGCTTCTCGAGATTGCTCGACCACGCATGCGAGACTTTCCGCAGGAGGATCTCGGACGACACAGGAAAGCCCTCCCGATCAAGCTTCGCGCTTACACAAGGCGCCTGAATTTATTTTCATCCGACTTGTCATGCTATAACTCCCGATCAAAGAGCGCGCGGAGGACTTCGTGAAGCTTTACGAGGCGTCATCCCTGGGCTCTGAAGCCCCCTCCTCCTCGACGAGTCGGGAGTCCTTTCCGGGTGGGGCGAGAGGCCACCACAACACTCCTCGCGCTGCTCCAGCTTGAGAGCGATCCAACCAAGAGCGATACTGGATCTGCACTAGTGTATATCATCTGTTTTGCACATTCTCTTCATCTTTTCCTGTAGTCCACCCGAACCTCAAGTGCACCGGACACCTCAACCGGTTCCTCAGTGACAGCAGTACGGAGCGTTCTCTCGTCACAAATGCCCGGAGTCATAGGATAGGAGTAGGGACCTGAACAAAGGAAAAGCAGCCAAACGAGCAACGGAGGAGGGAAGATGGCGGCTGTTCATCCTGAAACCTTGGCCACGGAGCCTTTGCCGACAGGATGGGAAACACGTTACGATACTCGCACCAATCGCCAGTGAGTTCACTTGTGACAATAGCTCTCCATGAAACAAATCCAAGAAATCGACACCTGGGCTCGTATATTCACTCAACCCGTCCGAGTGATGGGGAGCCCCGATCCGAATGAGGTGACATTGCGAGGGAGCGAATTGCGCTTCATGAGAAAGTTTCGCTTCGAAAATGTCAGTTTCTGTTCTGCGATTTTTCCTCCCTCTGACCCTCCGCCAAATCAAACTCGGACCGGCAGAGGCGCCAGGAAAATTATCCGTACTAATCACTATCTCGGCCCATCGAGATTCGGAAATTACCCATCTGGAGCAGGAGAGCTCATCATCCGCTCAACTGCGTCGGGACGTAAGGCCGACCGAGTCGTCGTCATGCGGCAAGGAATCTTGGTGGCCCGCTGAGTCGGCATGTCTCTTGTGCTTATGCGAGCTTTTGTTCTCGCACAAACAAATCACGCCATCTTTTGTTTGACCCCGGAGTCACAGATGTAATTAAGACCTTTCGCGAAGAAGCGACTAGCGACTGACAACGATGCACTCGAGCCTCTATTGTTTGGATTAGTACCGCCCATTTTTCAGCAGCCCACGACGGTCTCGGTGAGGCGCTCTGAGGATGACGACTGGAAATCGGCTTCCTAGTCCCCACTCGTGGTCGTGAAAAATTAATCGAACGCTCCGGCCAGACCCATTCGTCCCACCGATGAGTCGGTCGTAGGTAGAAACCTGGAGGGTTTTAGCGCATGCCAAGGAAGATCGCGGCGGTGTGGAACCCCAATCGCTGAAGTGGCACGACTCTGCCTCACTGCGTGCGTACGACTACCGCAAGGGTATATTGCCGGTGACAACAGCCGAAGCACGTCAGCCACGTTCGACAAGACACGTAATCGAATCCTATGCCGAGCGCGATCGGGGAACGGGAACGCGATTGATTCAGTCAAGGATCGCAGGCTTCAGATTCTGATCGTTTCCCCCGCTCTGAACAGATTCGGACATTTGTTGCAGATAGGGGGAATTTTCTTCACCGGTTCCGCTCGATTGATTGCGGGAAGCGATCTCATATGCTTTCGGGCAAGCCCCGAGCATGAACGAATTGGAAAACCTGATTCGGGATTTCGATTTTTTGAATGGAGTCCGCAAAGTGAATTCTTGCTTCAAACGAATCTCCTGTCCGAACATGGACGCGACGAACACGACGGGGGGACCTATGGTGCCTAAGACTCACCTCGAGGGAAGGGCGTCCACATCCCTTGTCATTCCGATACAAGTTCCCGTCTGGTTCCCGTCACTGGTCTCAGTCACCGATCTATCACTGGTCTCAGCCAGACTCGAGGATTCCATGCCGTATGATCGGGCGACCCCGCCAGTCTGACTCGGGGATGGGGGAATCAGCGGTGCATTTCTCCAAATCACCCCTGAAATAAATTTTTATTTGTTTGCCGCACTAATCACATCCTTTTGAATGCACCAGCGCACGATAGGAGCCGGGGGCATGAAATTCGCTGGAATCGGTCGTTGAATTTGAATTAGAAGCAGCCAGTCTACTCCTTACATACCTCCGAATGAGACGAGGGGAGTTTCGTGGCCCGTTCCTACGAAAGCTCTGCTGGCTTTGGAGCGCGCACCCGCTCCCTCGCGCGCCGCACACACATGAGCTACAATCATTCCCCTCGTACACAGGAGTCGATACCTTGACCTGGGGCTGCCATGGAAGCGTTCTCTGCCGCTCAAACGAAACGCTGACTCACTCTCCCATTCTTTCGTGTCTTTCGGACTCCTCGGAGCCAATCGAATGTCGGGCGGCGATCATAACGTCGGACGCACTCATTCGGCCCTTCGGCCCAAGTGGGAGTCTCCATTGGTGCGCGGTTTCCAACCCTCAGTGTGACAGCAGTCTTCCGGACCCGATCCACTAGGCCCCGCGTCGCTGGGTTTTGACCACCCGTTCGGAAAGCGTGAAGTCGACCATAGACTGCAGGTGGCTTTGTTGATTTCACGCGCAATAAACCTGGGCGAAGCCGGTTAAGGCGCGTGCTGCCTGGCCAAGCAAATGAGCCCCGTAGTTTATGTGTGCACGCGCAAAAGACACTAAAAGTGACCCGGGGCTCCGTAGACAGGTCTGCCCGTGCCTCGAGGGTGAATGCGAGCTTTCGTAGACGATTCCGAGAATGTTTAGCGCAGATGCGATTAAGGGGTGTATTAGGTTCGGCGATTCGCCAGGTGAACACCTCACCGCGAGGAGCCGGCTCTGAAATTGTTTTAGAAGGAGGCTTTGAGACGAACTCTCACCTTAACTATGGACGAGGCGGGCGAGAGTTCGTTTGATATGATTATTTTCCCGGGATTCCCACCGTGCCTCGAGCGATGCACCTGATTGAACGCGGCGGGAATCGGTCCGGGAATGACGCACTAGATACTCGTCGGAATGCGGATCGAAAGCGGGAGAGATTCAAACATGGAAATCGCACTATTGCGAGTAAACTCCGAAAGGACCATCAGCCTTAGATGTTATGGTTGGGTTTTCGCAAAAGCAATCATCGCCTAATTACCATTCCTTCTCCTCGCAGCTACTTCGTGAACCACGCAGACCACACCACGACTTGGGAGGATCCTCGGCTCCGATATCCCCAATTGCAAAATGTGAGTGGAATTTATAATATTCATAATCTATCCATTCCCGACTCCCGCTGGTCTCAGGCGGACCTTAGACAACCCGCGTAGGAGGCGCATGGTGTCGACATGGTCGGTAGGGACCCGAGAACTGAATGTTTCCGTTCAATTCGCAGGGCAGCTACGCGAAGTATTATCTCTACGGTAGCGGCAAAACAACACCCGAGCCCATTTTGAAAAACAAAATCTACAACGAAGATGTTCTGACAGTGAGTATGCAGTTCACGGTCGAATCAGAGGTGGAAGAATACTGCGCGGAGTTCAAACCTCCGATCTGGGGGAACCTCGCCCCCGCTTTTTAAAAACAAATGATAACTCCGTACAGAACTGTCCTCCACCTTACTACGGCATGCTCTACTACCCACCGCCAATGCAACCTCCTTCTTACGCCGCAAACGTGCAAGGGTCGCCCCGAGATGGTTTCTACACTCCTGCCGCACGCCATATGGGACAGTATTCACCGTACTTCGGCAGCCCGAAGAGCCCTCTCCGATTCAAGGTTCAGTTCTAGTCCAGGATTAGAGAACTGCATTCCACAGCGCTTGTCAGGAGAGGACAATTCAAAGGACGACTTCTTTCAGAGCGACAATAAGATCACCGTTGACGACAAACTTCTCGCCAAGCTTGTCGTTCAATTCCCGACGGTCGATGAGGGTCACATTTTTTCGATACTCAAACAGTACAACAACCGAGAGAATGTCGCTGTTGGAGCTTTATTAGCCGAGGTAGGTTCCAGGGACGGCGCCCTCATCCTCTGAGTTTCCTCAATCCGAGCATCGATGGCGACGGTACGGGGGAGACAGAACTTCATGGATTCGGTCAGCAATCGAATCCCTGCGATTGTTTCGTTTCAGGGTCATCCACGCGCACAGACAAACCCGTCAGGTCATGAGAACGTACCACCAAAGCTGATTCAACCCGATGAAAACCTCGTACAGAAGCTCCATAGCTATTTTCCGAAAGTCGATATAGACTACATCCGGAGTCTCCTTCATAAATTTAACAACGAGGAGCACGGAGTTACACGAGTTCTCGTGAGCGGAGCCGAGAGCTATAACATACGGCAACCCGTACACCACCAGCAGTCTCCGCTCGTAAAGGTCCGCTTCCTGAAGCTGATATTCCCCGAGGTCGATGAAGCCGACATTTACCTCGTGTTACAAAAGTGAGTCAGATTCCCGATGAAGGCGGACGGGTGAATTCCACCCGCGCTCATATCACTCTCATACATATTAGTACTTAGCCTGCCTAACACGTATTGTCGCTCTGTCTCCGCATCTACGAGAGCATAACCTGTACCACAGCACCGACAACAATGCGACCGAGGCCATGGAGCGCTTGGAAGAACAAGGTTACAAAAAACTCGAGGAACCACGACGAAGACCGGACGCGGTTCCGAAGGAACCTCCCGTTCCGCCTCGATCCGCTGAGCTGAAGCGGAAGAACCTCAATCCAACCCCATCTCTACCGGAGCAGAAGAGAAGTGAGTCAGGTCGTGATTTAAAAAAATTAATCCCGGTTGACTCACCATCGCGCGCCGTTCTGAAATTAGATGTTTTCGCAGTAATCGACAAATTGAAGGACGAGTATCCGCATGTGGACGGTGCTCTGATCCCGATGGCCCTCGAGAGCGCTACGTGGATTGAAGACCGGGCTCGGCATCTCCTCGACACGATGTCTGCGAGCGAGAGGTAATCAGACATTAGGGATCGTGATTAAGCTCTCGGTGGACATCTACCGTCAAAGCAAATCGAAATCCGAGCCCCACAAAAAACACCTCTCTATTCGCAGAGCTCCTATGAGTGCTTCAATGCAATCACTCTTGAAAGACATCCTGCCCGACGGCGTCCGGAGGCCGTCTAAATTCTCTGATGAGATCACGAAAGCGGATAAGTCCACACTGACTTCTCCAGAAGCGAAACCCGAGAAGACGCATCGTGTCAAATTCTTCCGTAGGATCTTCCGTTTCAATAAAGGCACGTCGACTCAAGAGGACCAACAGCCGGCTGAGACCACCAGGGTACAGGCTAAAGGACCCGACCCGAAGAATATGAAAGGGCCGTCGAGCAGGAATATTCTGTGAGTTCCTGATCTCAGGTCTAGAACCTTCCGGCTGACGTGTCGTTAAAAGATCGAGAAAAAAATGATTTAGATGACTCGAATCGGAGTTATAATTCGACTCATTTCCCATCCCTCCAGGCGAGACTACATGCCGTGGTTCGGTTCCAACTCATCGAATCGCAAAGGTCCGGATTCGAAGAATGTCAAGGGTCAAGACGCGAAAAATGTTAAGGGATCCGATCCCAAACAAAGCAAAGGTCCAGATCCGTCCAAGGCGCAAGGCCCCAAAGTCAAAGCGAAAGGATCTCAGTTTTCGTTCTTCAAGAAGAAGGAGAAGCACGGCAATCATGTCAGTCAACGCGTTATCGAAGTCCAATGAAGCGATACAACCCATGCGAGCCATTGCTCGTTCCAGTGATCCATTGACACGTCGACTGACTTCATGAGTTCGACAACTCGGCGCTGGCTAGTCTGCCAATCGTCGCAGTGAGCTTGCGTTATTGGTATGGTGTCAATTGCTCCCTCGTCTCCATGGAGGCTTTAAACCTTCCTTGTGCGACTATTCCCTTGCGGGTCATCCGTGAAGATCTTATTCTCATAAATTTCAATTCGAACTTCTAGTCACCACTCTGTTCACCACTAGCACTCCGAGTGAAAGTCTGCACGCACTGTGGTCGCACTCAAAACCTCCGAATGTGAACCTACGATGAGGCCAAACATGTTCTACTTCGTATGCAATTTTTGCCGAAGAATTCTAGCCAAGTTTTCCCCGATCAGCAACTTAGCAAGCAGAGAGAACTATTTTGAAGATACCACAGCCACACCGATAGTCATGAATATCCGCACTCTCAGACGGACGAACGCCAGATTCCTGATTGAGGAAGTTCATTCTCGATCGGGACCTCGTTCGAGATGCGGCTCTTGACAGAAAAATTAGAGGAGGATATCGGAGAACAGCGTCGGAACCATACATCCCATATCAAATGCCACACAGAGTATTTTTCAGAGTGATTTGGAGGCGATGCAGATTTTCTACTTGAGGGTCGGTGGATGTGCGAATCTGAGCGAGAGGTATCGGCTCGGAGCAGTTCAGCAGAACTTTTTGACGGAACAGGGTCCGTCATTTCACCGAAATTCAAGAATTTTTCGAACGAAGAATGCAGAGTCAGCTGCTCTCGCTCCTACGCAGATTTAGCCAAATATGTGATGCGGAGTTCTCGATCGATTCCCCTCATCAGCTGGATCGGCTCTATCGATCCACTGACTGAGGCAGCGAATGACTAGTCCCGGCCGTTGGGGAGATTTCGAGACACACAGCTGAATACGAGCCGCGTTTAGTCAACGAGCCTCATACGAGCCGCCTGTGTGTCGGCGATGTGCAATCGTGTTTTTCGACGATCGAATTGATACTTGTTGTGTCCAACCGATCTCCTACCTAATACTCAAGCTTGGAGCGAGGCGAAGCATTACGATAGAACATCGAGGGACGGACTTGAGATGCAATATCAAAACCTAAATAGGTATGCAGTGCAATATTCTCTCGATTGAGCTCGAATTCGGCGAAGAGAGCTCCGCCCTGGATTCCAGTACGCGTATAGTCCATCCGGAGAGGGACTGAGCAAGCGATGTTCGCGAATCGATGTTTGAATTCCCCGGCCTCGCAACCCGGGCTCTCATGGTGCCACCACTTGGTCTGACGAATTATCTCGACCGAGATTAATCATGTCACTTAAGAAATGTATAAACCATAGATCCTCACCGATCCATCAAATCATCTACTACTCAAATCCTAACACATGTGCAATTCAAACTGAACAGTGATCGTCCTGCGGCAACAGGCTCTTCCTGTCGATTCTCTCCCACGAACCCATCGGAATTTTTATCGAGTCAGCTGTCAGGACCTTCCGGAACCAAGGACGGCGAAACTTGTCGAGATTCTCGGAGCGAATCGATAGGCAGGGTACAAAGCGCCAGGAGTTTTGATGTGCAAGATACACCGATAAGCAGATGCAGAAGTATCAAACGAGTCATTATGAGACAGATTTTTACTGTAGAAGTTCTCACGCAGTAGTCTCAGTAATTATGCCGTCCTCGTCTTTGTGTTGATAATATTCGAGAAGGTCGACCGGCCCGCGCACTCCAACGGGTGAAGACAGTTCCTGGCCGATTCGGTCGGATCGTACATTGGTCCACGTAAATCAATGATTGAGCCTGAGGAAAATCTGAGATTATGCTTTCCCTTATTGAAACTGCCGCCACCCTTGGGATCAGTTGTTCAGTGCGGGAGCCCCAAGTATTGTGTACTGTTAACAATGTGACTGAGCTGAATGATCATACGTCCATTTAAAATAAATACTATCGGATACAAAAGCTACAGGGGACAAGATGTGTTTTCCTTCCCTTGAAGCATGGACTCCCTAGGCAGAGAATGATAGCGCATCATGTGGAAGGAAAGACCGGCGAGCGAAATCGGCGTGTTATTGATCGTATTCAGCAGTCGAGACTTTTATTCAAAATTTACACTTCGCGCTGTTCGGCTTCCTACAAGATTTACCTTAGACTCGATTAACATTGTTCTGCTCTCGTTCCTTTATCACACGTGCGATTCGATTCGAAAGAGAGTTTGATTGATGCGTATCGAATGTCAAGAATTTCACAAGTGATTTCGTTCCGATCGAATCAGCTTCTCTGCGGCGAGAATGAAGATGCCAATGACGAAGTCAGTACGGATTATTATCGTAGTAAAAAGTATATTACAAGAAGTACATGTTTAGTAAATGAACATGCTTCGCACATAATCTATTGTTATCTACAGTGGGATCTTAGATGACGTCTTGCCCATTCATTACTTTGTTCTTTGGAAGTTGCAGAAATATCCGTTGAAAGTGTTGAGACTAGAAGGTTATCGTACGCGGTATTTTCTCAATGATATGCTGTAAATGCGGCTCCTAATTCGCGATCGTCAGATGGGTCGTGCAAGTTCAAGCACCTGCCTTGGTGCTACATTACGCTTGGAACCTTTCATTTTGACTTTCAAACGGCTTTGCACTCTGCAAGCGAGATTCTCGGACCCAGTTTCAATTATGTTTGTTTATAGCGATCCCTAGCGGCGGTTTTACGCGACGGATCCACTCGACTATCCACTCTTTTCCTCACTGGCAAGCACTTCCATACGGCTTGGCGACAGTATACGAATGGACCGTCATGCGAGGCGGGACAAGAATAGAAGTCCCAAGCTACGCGTGGTGTCGCGACGCGGAGACTCCACCGAATCGATCATGAAAAATCAATGATCTCACACACTCGCCACCCATGCTTACTCGAGAGATTAGTTGCTCTGAACACGTACGCCGTAAGTACTGCTCGTCGCTCACGACCACAGTTGGAAGAGGAGATTTTTTCTCAAAGATATGTCTATCGGAATAAATTAATTAATGAATCTAACCAGTGTCAACTCGTTAGAAAATGACCAAAATGAATTCGTTCCGCGCTACGTCTGATAAAGCTCGCATGCAAAAACTCGAGAGGATTCGTTCGCGAGTGAACTCGAAGCCACTGAGACCACCGTAGCGTCTACTGTCGACAATGATAATTCGGATACTTCTTCTGAAATACACCGGTAAAGTGTAGAATTCAAGTTAAAAAAACTCGACGGACTAGATTTCAGTACATCCGTAGCACCAGGACGCTGCAGCATTGTCGCGCTCGATCGCGGGCCGCAGTGAAGCACAACGAAGGCAAAAGTGCTCGCGAGCAGCGCTAAACTCAAAAGCGAATCTCATTAAGTACATCTGGCAGCGAGTTCCCTACCAGATCGTCGTCATCGAATAATTCTCAGACTATAGACGTCGTTTCAACAAACACTCCGTTCATCCTTGATAGCAACCACGCCTTGGTTGACCGAAGGATGGTGTTTTGCGACGTGACGAACCAGATTGCTCTTCCAATGCGTCTTGAAATCGCAGTATGCGCATTGAAGCTTCTCTTCAGTATGACATTTTATATGCTGATTGAGATGGCCCCGTTGCTTCGAAACGTAGTTACAATAAGGGCACTGTAAGCTCCGATCTAGATGTTTCCGTTGGTGTTTCTCGTAGTAGTGTAATATAGGGCTCGAATAATCACACTGGTTACACGAGAAGCGAACCTGCTCTGCGCCTGTACACGATGAGAGCCACTGAAGATCCCCGATTCCATCGAGCAAGTCTGTAGCTGGAAAGATTGAGAATATTTTATGATTAAACTTCAAAAGTCACTGTAGTTGGGAATCTCATGGAACCCAGTCTAAAGTCCTCAACTCCAAGTCAGACTCCGGGAAGCCATTCTACATGCGCAGCACCACGTGGAATTCGTATCGAACCACAAGTTCTTTTATTCAGAAGTTCACAAAATGTCTTCCGAATATGCAAAGCTTCTCGCCGCTCGACTCCTTCGTGGCATCGAGGTCCGACTCCTTATCGCCTGAAATGAGAACTGTGATTAGTGCTGAGGCTTCAAAACCGCATCGGCCAACCTCGCAATTATCGGAATCGTCATGATCGCAATTCGGATCGAGACGAAAAAAAACAGAGGAGGACACACGGTGGTTCTAGAAAAATAGAGAGTAACAGCATTTATTCCTGAATCGAAATCGATCCTTTCAGTGGAGTAGCGTTATGGAATGAGGCACTTCGGGTGCATGGTAGTCCGTTTCTATCTACCATAAACGGGAGGCACTTTTATCATCGAGTCTCGTTCGAGAAGCATAGATTACAAACTTTTGAGCTAGCCAACATTGCACCGTCTGGCGTTCTTATTGTTATTGCATGATGGTGTGCATAAATCTGTTATTTTATCCAGTAAACATAATGTACGTTGGTGTAAATCCAGTAATGTTTCTAATATTATTTCCTTCTATTCAATCGCCTCACGATCTCAATTGAAACGATCGTTCCACATTCCTTCACCAATTCGAGTGGGGAAACCGCACGTTCTTCTTAATTCTCAAGTTTATACACGATACGTGAAGAAGATCGTTCCGCGAGAACGGCAGATTTCAGCCCTGAGCTGGAAAAATCCACGGAATCTCCGAGCAGCGATTTTCTACGTTTTTCGAAGTAGGTAGTTGGCTCAATGTGCTCAGGCTTGAGGTTCCAGATTGGATCTTGGGAGCTGTTCCAGGAGATTTTCAGAGGAAACTCGAACCTCCGATAAGAAGCGAAGGAAGCGTCTCGCGTAGAATAACACGAGAGGCGATAAGATCATTGTGAATTTCGATGAGATAGGTCTGCTTCCGGAACCCCTGAAGCAGTGGTGACGGCACCCTCAATCGGATTCATGGAAACATATGTATGTGCTTGCAGCGAGCTCTCGCGCACGTGATCGCGCGTGGCGGGTGTCTTTTATGAGTTAACCGGCGATTCCCTGCACCGATTACCTAATGCTGGCTTGTTTTGCATGGCGGAACCACGCTCAATTATTTTTACCTAGGACTGCGATGAAAATCGCAAAATTTCCTTCTTCATGCACGCTCCTTCGAGCTGTGCGATCTTGAAATGAAAAATCTGCTGCTATCCGATTCATCGCATAGCGGAGCAAAAATACGTATAATGTGGTCAATCACCGGGTTATCCAGGCGCTGGGCGGTCAGGCATCATTTTCCACGAATTTGGCAGAGGGAGATCGATACCCCACCTCTCGTGAGGATTCGATTCTACTCGCGATGCACTGGAAACCTAGATTTCTAGTGTTGTATCTCAAGCAAACTCATAAGCGACAACATTTTACTCTGCTCGTTCCCGAAGGATCAATAACCGGACCCGACTCACTATGAAGCAAATGACTGGAATCCGGATTTACTCGGATTGATGGACCGCCCGAGCCACCCTAGCTCACCAACCTTCTATTCGCTTCACTGTAAATGACATAAACATACACCGGGTTTGTGACCGTCAGTGATTCATATTGTGTACAAAAGTAGGTTTTCTATCACTGCATTATAATATTTCCTTCATTGCAGTTTGAGGCACCAATGGTACTGAGTCTACAAAGCTCTGTGCTCCCTGAATCTGACGCTATAGGTTTTCCAACTCGTTTCTCCCTCCCAATCACTCAGGAAAGGTTCGGTTAGATATGGCGAAATTCTGGTATTGGCCTGATTTTTCCGCGACCATCTCTGCGGAAACATCGTATGATACCACTCGTGAAACGGTTCCATTATATAGGCTGACCGTAGATCGCCGAGTAATGATGATATCAAAACCCAAATTTCGGCATGGTGGAGAGCAAATTGAAAAACGCAACAGCTCTTGGAGCTCGATGCTGTCGATATTTGTGTGTGGCGAACTTCCAAGAGCTCGAGTCGATTACACTGGAAAATCTTACTCGCTAAATTGTTTCCTACCATAACTGGTAAGTCTTAATCACATAGTGTTTTCCTTCTTCTACTTGAGCACCAAACGGTAAGGCTTCAGAGACGTTTTCCGGTTTAACCAATGACTTTGAAGGCTGAGCTGCAATCGATCAACGGAGCAATCGATGCATTCATGCATTTACCAATTCACAATCGCTCATCGATGTCCGGTCTCTCGACCGCGAGTACCACGGCCGGCGGATCGTATCATGAGGAGCGCTTCGAGCAGCAAAGTACGGAAAAACGTCTCTGTCTGGCTACCGGAACACCGATTACCAACATTTCGTGGGCGATATAATTCCACCAGATGGAATAACGATTCTCCTATCCATCCAGAATGTAGCTGTGGAGGAGTCGAACTCGTCTGACTGTCTCCATGCAAATATTTCCTTCCTTCCGGCGTAAAACAGCAACAATTATAAAACTGATCTCCTCTCTGTCGCGGTTGCTTTTTCCTTCGGGTCTTCCTCATGTATCTGTACACATATTTCGATAATTATTGTGTTACGGATTACCGGGCTCCGTGGAGTATCGTGGATCTATGACCAGCTGAACCAGGCTTCAATTACATGACTATTACTACAACTAGCAAACCTTCATCCCGATGGCTCATATCCGACTCGCTGATCGTTGATGGACAACCATGTGGATGGTGACACTGCTCTTCTGAGTCGCTCGGTACGGACACAGAGGACACTTGTAGGGCTTCTCCCCAGTGTGAACCCTTTCGTGAACGACGTAATGGCCTTTTTTGTTGGTGGAGTATGGACAAACTGGGCACTGATAACGATTGGTCCCCGAGTTCGGCTGGAGGGATTTTCGACCCCGACCCAATGCTTGCTGGATCTGTTTCATGGAATCGATGATGATGGGTGCCAGCTCGAGCCGGGTTGGCAATACAGCTGCAAAACACGAAGGAACCGTGTGTTAGAATCAGATTCCGGAACTCGCAAAATCTCAAATCGCGAGAGTATGGAGGAGACGCCCAACGAGGGCGAGGACAGATTTTCGACGACACCATCGCCGGTCTTTGCTTTATTGCGGGAATTCGCGGCTTCGAAGGAGATCACGATGATCGAATGTCCGACTGGCCGTCAGGGGCCTTGCTTACTTCATGGGTTCCGGAGATGGCCTCTTCCTGTAAGGGAATGGCTCATTAGCTATGGTCTTCGAAATCCGGCGCATCAGATCGACGTTCTCTCCGGTCTTGATCAGTGGAATGAGCACAGATCAATCAACCGACCGACAGTCTCTACGAGATCGATGGAACAGTATGAATCCGTGAGACGATTCAAAAGAGATGACTCATTTCATCGAATAACAATCGCATCGATGCGTCGAGCAGTATTCCATGAGAGCCTCTCGCTGATAAGCGAACATACGGTTCAGATCTTGCATCTTCTTCGAGTCGGAAGCATCTCCTGTCCGCCGCCACGGAGAGCCGCTCCCCTGAAGCAGCCGGGGGGGGTTGAAACTTGGATCGGTCTACAGATCATCCCTCCTTGTGCAAGCTCGGCAAGGAATTCTTTTCTTCATTCGATCAGCGACCGGGAGCGACAGATATTTGACGGCGGGGCCTCCATAGGAGTTTCCGGACAAGAGCTCCATCATGCACCACACACTAGGTTTCCGAGTAAACCCCTAGTGCTGGCCGAGATGCCCCAAGAAAGGCGGATTTCTCAGATGAGATTTGCCGCACAAATGGCGGTAGAAACGGTTTTGACCCATCGGGAAACTTCCGTCTGAGGGCGACATGTTTTCGCTCGAGCTCAGAGCGGTTCTAAAACGATTGAATTCTTCGGTCTCCCTCGGTAAGTATCGGATCATTTCCCCGGTCCTCCTGAGACTCTTCGTCGCACAGCCTGACGGCTAAACGCGTCTCACAGGCTCAGTATGCGTGCAATTCCCTTCAGAGGATATTTCTGACGATATTTTCCGTCTCTGGAATAGCAGAAGAAGACGACGTCAGTTGCCACGGATGTCCAGGTTCGCTCGTGGCGCATCGTTAGAAAGGATAATCGAGAAACATCGCGTTTCTTTATTGGAGGTCGCAGAAGTACAGCTCATTTGACAAGTTTTCTGGGAAATTTTCGATTCGGAGCTGAGGAGAGTGTCGCACCGAAGATTCTCGACGTGAATTTCTGTAAGCAGAACAAGAGTTTAAGAATCGCTTCGTACACCGCATATGATGTTCAGCGTCATGCGGCCATCGATGTTGACTTTCGACATGAGCGATCGATCGATAGATCGATCACGATGCTCTGGATCAGAACGGCAAGCGACAACCAAAAGAGAAACCGTGCGAACGTAACACGGACAACAGTGTTCTCTGGATATGCGCGACTGGTCGGCTCCTTCCTTTTATTCATTCCTGCCACCGATCAGATCAATATGCTGTCATCCCATCGACATGTGAAAAGTTCAGAGCTTGATGATATGCTGAGTTCAATTAGTATTCTGACTTCCCGATCGATTTCGCAAATTAAGACTGACTCCAGGGGTTTCCTCCGCGAATCACTGATTGGAACAGCTTTTGGCGAAGACCTCACAGCTTGTCGACGTGGCACGCATCGGCATAATCGCAAATACACCGTTCGTCCAAATCGCGGAGGCTATCGAGAGGCGCGGATCGTCACACGACCGGTATCTGATGTATGACGCCCTTATGGCTGCGCAGTACCTCTCCAGACAGGAATTTCTTTCCGCAAATGTCGCATTCGTACGGATTGCTTATCGAATGATTCCGAAGATGTTTGAGGAGAGATTTTCTTGCAACATACTGCTTCCCGCAGAAGGTGCAACGAAGACGATTTTCAGCTCCGAACGAGGGATACACTGTGGGAAGAATCAGATCCAAGCCTGTAAGAATCATTCAAATATATGAGACGGAGAGTCCACGACGGATATCCTCGACCGAGTTCCGTTCCCGCTCTCCTAACCAGGGTGCTCAAGAAGATTCGAAGGCACCCGATACCCGATAATTAGGGCTAGGCGTTTGTGGCGGCCGCCACATCCGCCATGAAATCCGCGATTTTCGGCCGGAATGCCCACCTTCCGCGAATTTCGGAGATTTTTTTTACGGAATAAACATGGTCAGTTTGACTCCTCCCGTGACAGACCCCGCATCCCGTTCGATAGATTCCAAGGGGACCATCGATGGCGAGATGTCCTTATCCGCTGCGAACTTCTCCCGCGCCTGTCGCGTATTCGACCCCGCGAAGTTGAAAACAATCGAGATCGAAGCCGGCTACGTCATCGAAAATATACTGTGGTTCGAGGAAAACGATCCGGGGGAGGCTGAACTCCGACTATACTTGTCAGCCAAGAGAAAACTCGAGGCTTCGTCTCATCCGATAGTTTTGTGGATAAATGCGACGGCTCGTTTTCCCGAACTGGCGAAGATCGCTCTGACTTGTCTGAGTGTTCCCGGCACCAGTGTTTCGGCTGATGAGAGATCTTTCAGGAAATGCGCAACTGTTCTTCGAGATGATAGACGTAGTATAAAAAGTGAGAATCTCAGCATGTACAATATGCTTAATCATAACAGTGACGAAATGTGAGTTCTGGTCCTAGCTTCAAGCCTCCTAGGTAGCATGAGGTGATTGACGACAGCAGACAAACATAAGCATCCGCCGTAAGTCCGCGATTTTTGTTGGGGAGATCCGCCACAGGTCCGCGATATTCCCAAAAAAAGTCCGCCACAAACGCCTAGCCCTACCGATAATGAATGATGTGAGTATCGAGGGGAAACAATCGTCGTTTTTCGTTGGAGACAATACAGTCGAAGGCGCAGATTTTTGTCGCAAGTTTTCTCGGGAGTGCTGACCGGCTCCACGGACTTTCTCTGGAAGAAGAAAAATTATTAGTTTGATCGAGCTTTTAGCCCTTCACCTCAATCTGCAAACTTTCATGATCCAATCCTGATTCTGGAACGTCTTTTCCTCAGCATCTTATGCTCGCTAAACGGTCGAGGCTGGAGGTACTCTGGAACGCATGCTGTGACTCCGTTCTCTCCGCGGGGAACTCCCAGTCGAGTCGATCGTCACTTTTTCCATTCGTTTTTTTCCTCATCGCCGTAAAGTGTTCGCAAGCGATAATTTCACGTGGAGGATCCATCCCAATAATGAGCTGTAACAGGTCTCCGTGGACATGACGAGAACTTCTTGTACGATCGGGACCAGACGTCTATTCCGCGAGATGAGGTTCTCGACCGACCATGGGATTTGACCGACTGTCGGAAGCCGCGAATGATTTGGGACTGAGACTGGCGGACCATGTACTCAGAAGAGAGTCTGCTCCAGGCCACATATACGATCCCTTCCTTTGAGGCTTCTTTGTCTCAGCTCATTGTCAGTTATGATTATTAAGATAGAAGATACTAGATCTACACCAGGGAATCCGTCCGACAGCTGAATAATACCCCTGGTAACCCTCATTCGTGATTCCCGCGACATGTTTTTCCACTTCGGCAGAATTCAGATTGAGTCGCATGATTCGAGAGCGCATTCTACGCGTTTTTCGGATAACTTCCGGTCCCCCTCCCCCTTTTCGCACTCGCAGTTCCTTTTGAGAATTATAGGGTCATCCCTCTGCGAGCTGCTACACCAAAAAAAAAAGAATGTACCGAGTGATCGCCGACGATAAAGATTGGAGCGCGGGAATAGATACCGGAAGTTGGTGATCTAGCTTTATTCCTCATTATGTCCACCATAAATCGTTCCTCGCTGCGTTCTCTGTATATGAATGTTTGCCAGCGATCTTTGGCAATACTTTCGTATGCTTATATTATGTACAACGGCTGTCGATTTTCGTGTATAAGTTCTGGGGCGACATCCTCTGTCGGCATAGAAAAATGACTTTTGTTCCTTGAGCGCGAGGCGAGAAGGCGATTGGCGCTATTGCCCTGTCAGGCCATTGGATAGTAAAAAGTTTGTAAACTCACTACAGATGCATGAATATGAATTTGTAGAGTTTCTGAGATACACCAGTACAAAATTCGCCTGGTGCAGAGCATATTCACAGAGTTAGTCCTCGTCTCACTTCATGACATTCTTTACCACTCACTCAGACAGATGCACATCCTTCGACGAAACATCCGATTCAGATACAATATATATTTTCACAATAAACTAGTTCAGGTATCTTTCCGATCTCCTCATCGAGATTCAATAAAAAGTGAAAATGAACCTCATCTGCTCCGGTCAAATCATAGCGAAGATCTGGTGTACCCTATTGTTCGGAATGACATTGGGACACTTCTGAAGACATATTCGCAATCGCGACTCGGCTGAAACTCTTAATGAGCCCCACCTAATCGTGATGGAGCTTCCCAATAGATTACGAAGAATTGAGGCGTTTCTGAATCCCTCGAGTGAATGGGAGGCTCATGGCTCCTCGAGCTTCCTGCGTTTCCCTCATAAACGAAATAGGGTCATGATCACATCATTCTGATCATCAGGTATCTTCCGAAAGCAGAAATGAGACTCTATGAGGGGACGGTAAATTGAATAAATCACGATATCCCGAGCATGAGAGTCTTTTCTCGGGTCTGAAACCCCCGAGCTATCACGCATGAAAATATAAGAATGGAGAAAGTATCCGACGTAGAGAGAAATATTCAAAAACGAGTCATCAATAATAATTCCGTTGCATATTTGCAGAACCTGTCCGCAATCGAGGACTAGATACGAGATCTTTGAGAGTGGCTGTGCTTCCTTATCGGAGTAAAAAGTTCTAGGTTGCGATTCGGGATCAGTCTGTACAGTGCTCCTCAGTGACGGGGAGGAGGGGAGGCTTCCCTGACCGGTCTCCACGTTCGTTTTCAATAGCCGTGTCTCTGTGATATTCGTTGTGGATGATACGACCGGTTGTGTATATAGAGAGCACTACTGGTTTTGAATCTTTGTATGCAAATGTCACAGTGGTACGGCATGTCACCCGTATGCGTTCGTTCATGATCTCGGAGGACGTGCTTTTGGTTGAACCGCCGGCCGCATATAGAGCAGCCGTACGGACGTTCGCCGGTGTGCGTCCTGAAATGGACTTTGAGGTTTTGTTTCGTCGCAAATCCCCTGAAGCATATGCTGCAGTGATGGGGTTTTCGCAGGAGATGATCCGCGTACACGTTCTCAAGTGCTGCAAGAAGATAGACTCCGGTCAAGTTCGACTCAAACTCCTAGTATGTAGTATCCGGCTCATTCGGGCGAACCGGGACGGAGACCGTCGGATTTTCCTATTCTATGATAGAGGGGTCGGTGTGGAACCTCTTCGGCTAGGAGTACTACCTTGTTCTGTTCTCTGTACCTAAACTCGCACATTTTACGCTCGAAGCTACGGGATGTTCATGTGGGATCATTGAGGAGCGAGGATCAGAAGAATATGCGATGGCATCGCTCGCGCCGAGGCGGATGGAGGCCACAAGCTCTGCCGCGTGGATCGGTGAGACGAGAACTCCGGTCCCATCGGAGAATAAGGGTAGAGGATAGAGAACAATTCAAGGGCAATCAAAGAAAGTGTCGATGAGAGGTACTACCGAAAGATAATGATCGACCAAGGCGAATTCAACAAAAGAAGCTGCAACGAGCCTTCGAGTTCAGCGAACTGAGCGCGGTGCCGTCCATAAGATTGTTTTTGGAGATACGCTGTCCGCGCGTTTAGAAGGGCGAAATGCAAGAGCCACCGTCGGCCCTGACGGTAATAACCGTGACGCCGCGCCGCCGGTAAGTGCCGTACGGATGCCTCACATAAACTAACGACCGCTTCCAGCATTTCCGAAATCGCTCGTCCCTCCGAGAGAAAGGGAGTTGCCGCTTTACTTCGCGCCGAAGAGGCATATAGGGACGTTCTCTCTTTTTACTGATCCTTCGACAGGAAAGTATCCCGAGCTTGCGGTGCGATGCGATATCGAGGCTTCATCGAAGAGACCAGGAAACACAATCGGTATATTTGTTCCTAACATGTCGGAAGACAACGGAACAGGGATTTTTATTCGATTTCTGTCGTTCACATGGATGGCGACATCTTCTTAGCGTGCGAATCGTCCACGGTCCGAGGAGCCAGGTCTTGTTAGCACTTGGTCTTCGGGGATACCCTAAATGAATCCATATGTTAATTCATTCTACTGTCCGGGGAATAGAACAAAATCCCGGAGCCTCCAGAGTGCAGGGAATCTCCGAACACGTGGATCTCCACGCGAGTTCCCATGGAGCAGAACGATTTCGGTGTCTGATTCGTCTTCTCTGGTAGATATGGACCTTCGGAGCTGGGGGGAAAACGTTCTCAACTAGATCCATTGCTCCTAAAAAAGGGCTCAGCTGGTTTCCCGCTGCCTTACGGTGCATCGATTCGAGCAGAGGCGAGCGCGTACTGACAGTAATTGTACGAGCGGCCACTCAATCAGGATTATTCCATCTCCGTTGACCAGCGCGGTGATCTCAGAACGATCCGCTCCGAAATCTTCAGGAGGATCGCGAGGAATTTTCTGATTTGTTCGGCGCCGTGTCCTCCCCTCGTAACTAAAAGGCCAACGATCGGGGACCGGAAGCTCGACACGCACCCCACGCTCCCGAATGTCCGAATAATATCGCAAGAGGACCGAATTCCTCTTTCGCGTGGAGAAGAGCCCCTCTCTTCCCGGCATTATTTTCCCGGCATAGCTCGACCGGGATCATTTTCCGAGGGAACAAATCCGGGGGAGCGCTTGAAAATGGATCACGGTAGACGGGTCCGATCTCGAGTGACTGAGTTGACAGAAACGTGAAACTCGCGGAAATGTGGTCTCGAGGTTTCCTTCTGTGCTCACCGCGGTAGGTGGGAGCGAATTCCGATTGACAGCGAATCACCGCCAACAGTTCGATTGACAAACGCCTCCGCGATCACCATCAGAGATTCATGCCTCACGGATTTGTAAGACGGATGACACAAGCAGAGAAACTACGAATGTTTTCTTCGAGCGCTTACACAAGTCTCGACATTACCCATAACTGCCACCGAGGGGACTCATTGCGGAGAGTTGTTTCAGATAATTGCCACCCATAGCGAGATAGCGAATTAGTGTCTCCTGTCCTAGAGGATATCCCGACTCGAGGAAATGGAACGTCAATGAATTCTAACGGGGAAGTCTCAGTTGACGCCGGATTGCTCTCAATTTCGTGTTGAACGCGAAGTCGAGATCGTAGTCAGGCGCTCGTTGACTTTTCTCTGATTTCTTCCCGATACCTTCATTCGATTTGCAGCTTTTCGGACTATAAACAAACTCGTTTCCTCTTCTCTCTTTTTGACCAACCGTTACCGGACGGTTCGCATCCGGCGCGTTCGTAATATCTGCCTTCCTTCACTATCGTTAAGGTGAGCGCAGTCCAGACCGGGGCGATTCCCTCAACATGCACATGATGAAAGTTCCGCCAGAGTAGAGAACACAATTCCGATCGGGCACATAATTGTCTAGTGAAACCCACTCCACAATCGTCGGAGCACATGGAAAACAGACAGGGAACTTCACAGAGAAACATGCAACACTCCTTAACGTGAGAAATCGGGAGAAGGAAACTCAAGCTTCTCAGCTTTAAAAAAATTGTCCTGTTTTTTTCTCATCGCGAAGAAAGCTGAGAGCAAACGCGGTCGTAGTTGGATTGATCGATGTTTGTTGTTGTTGACGACACGAAGGAGACTCACGCCGATGATCATATTCTCCATATATTGGTTTCCTCCCAAAAACCGCTCGTGATATGCGGACGGAATTGCTCCGATGCCTATTGAGAGTCCTCCGATCATAATCACGATAGATGGGATATTCTTTCAGTGGGATTTGAGTGCCCATTCGAGCGCTTCGTGTTGTAGAGAGCGTTGTTGGATCCGCGGCAGAATCGCACCGGGTTCCAAAAGAGACCGCTGAGCTCTAATCTGTTCGCGATTGATGAGCTTCCGGACATGACGCGCCTCGCAAAACTTTATTCCCATATAAGTCTGTCGGGATGGGAGGCTCTCGCCTAGACGCCCGGGAAGTTCTGCTAGAGTTCGGCTCCGACGTCGAATTTGAGCCTGAATGCTTTTTGCGGTATGAAGCCAGCGGCATGAAGAGCCGGTATCTGTTATCTGTGTAAACCTCACTGTGCGCGCAGTCGTTCGCGGGTATGGGAGCTCTCCGTAAAATCTCTTGTGGTAACTGTCAGCATTCTTCCCTCCCTTTAATTCATTCACGGGGAGAATTCCTCAGTCCGATAGGGTCGGAGGACAGCGAAGGGGGATCGCGACGGAGCATCCGGGATTTTCGGGTACTCTTCCTCCGTCAGCTGATTCCTCCGCCCACTTGAATCATGCATAGTGCTGTATCATCGAATCGATGTGACAGCTCGTCATTCGCAGCCTGTAGCCTGTCTGGAAGCTTTATTGGACGGCAGACTGGATGTTGGGGGAAGGGCAGCAGAGATCCGGAGGGATGATCTCCTTCTCAGCCCCGTGATCAGAATACCAAAAAAAGAGAGCGTAGCTCAGACTACCCGAGCAAGTGCCTCGGTTCAGAGCCTGCGGAGTCGGCACGGAATTCGCCCCATCAGCCCGTACTGGAAACGTCTGTTCGATCCGAGGAGGATTAAATATTGGAATAAGGGTATCGGATGGAACAGAATTTTCGGATTCGATCTGAGCTTCGGAACGGCTTGCCTGGTGGCATGTTTGAGGCTCTACATATTCACTGCACAAGCGCGGAGATCAGAGAAATCACTTCGGCGGTATGTTTCGAGATTCGAGCTCTCGGATAGGAACGGAGTATTATGCACGCGCGATGGAGAATTTCCCTACTGCTATTCGCTCGGTCCTGAGAGCTGGTCGCGAAGTCAAGGGAACGATGCTCTCAAAAAGTCGGAAATTCGGCAGGAGCTGCGACGGTGCCCCAACATCGCGAGAGTGCGGCCGGCTCCAAAGACGGAGACCCTGTTGCAACATCGTCGAATTCTGAGGGTGCGTGCATCTTGCGGCATGGCTTCGAGGATCGTGGAGATCCGGCCATCTAGGCTGGAAGGCCCACGCCGCGCTCGGACGGAGCTAGAATGCCGCGGCACGCTGTGGTAAGCTGCTGCACAAACGGGGAATCGGTGCAATGCTTCACCGCCAAGCAAGAGAGCCCGCCAGAGCACGTGAGTCGCTTGCGATGACGGAGATATCAGGGAAGAACGATTGTGGGTTACACTCAAAGGCGAGACGATGGGGATGGGGCACACTAACAGTGGTCTTCCGAGACGAACTTCTCCCGAAGTTCGGACCCGACAAATATCTCTCCGTGTCTCTCGTTCCTGAACCCAGATGCTCTGAGGACCTGAATTTCTTCGGATCCTGTCCTCTCGGAGCACAGATCACCACCATCATCGTATGGGAAATATCCGTCTGCAAAGCTGCCTCTGACAGAAGTTAACTTTCAGATACTCAATCAAGTTGTTCTCTGACTCTGATGCGTCAGCTGTCGGTCCAGAGACGCGCATAGGCGAACCCCGGCCTCCACTGCTGCGGAGGCTCCAATTTCGGCAGCTCTCGGATTGATTTGTGATTCGGCTTGATTTCGAGGATGTACTCAATACTTGGGAGCTGAGCAGCTGATCCGGAGCGATTTCGCTCATCTCTCCATGCATTCGCCGTATACACGTTAGGCACAGACTTCGTCGGTAGGGAGATGAAATGTATCGGTAAGAATAGTAGAGATTGAGCAACTACCTAACCTATGGCTTGTACTAACTCTACTGATAGATTTGCAGAGAAGCAGATTCTGACTGCCCTCTCAAGAAAGAGAATCGTGTGCCTGGAGCTCCGCTGTAACAAGTTTGGCATATTAAACGTCTTCTCAAGTTTCTATCGACCTCTCCTGTCTCTTTCTCTTAGATAAGATTTCCCAAGACTAGATTTCTGTTTCGAAAGTCGAAAGTCACATATGATGCGTGGAGAATCAACCCTCCGATTCTTGAACTTGCAGACACTTCAGCACGACACCCAAGACGGGCGCAAGTGACGAGCTACTACGATCCCCTGGAATATATCATCGATATACCGGACTCGCCGCCAGAAGCGCCTAGTCGAAGGAAGAAGGAGAACCGGAAGTTCAAGTGTCGATTCTGTAACTACTTGGCGACATCGGCGAGCAACAAAGATAAGCACGAGAGGGTCCACACAAAAGAGAAAACGATGCAGTGCGCGTATTGTGACTATGCGACAGCTGACAGCAGCAACTACAACAGACACCTACGGAGGAAGCATAATATTCACGAGCTGGATCGGAACGTTCCGATGTCGCCCGATGATTCCCAGGAGTGCATCCGGTGTCCGTATTGCGAACAAACTAGCGGCAACATGGAGAGTTTCGAGGTACACGTCAGGGTTAAGCATAATGGAGGCTGAAGAGTTGAGCGCATATCCGACGTCATATTCGCGTAGCTCCCACAACTACGGATCTCAATTTCGGTCACCTTTACCGGCCTTTTTCATACGTCGAGATGCGCATCTTGTGAAATCTAGTCAAGTATCTATCCGCCCACGTTTTTACGATTTCCTAGCGACATTGTGATAAGTTTGCGACGCTTAATCTAGAAAACTCATATTCAATATTCTTGTACCGCATGTCCTCAAATTGCGGGACATGCCCGTCAATTTACCAACCTTCACGTGGGGTGTCCTTCGAATGGAGCACGCCCTTCATTTTTTCCGATCAGTCCGGACGTCCATCATCTCAGTCGAGCAATAGCGGAGTGAACATTAGTGTTATCGGATGAAGGACGATGGAGCAAGATTTGGTACTTCATCGTCCACTAGCTATCTAGTCATGTAAAGTAGCGATCCGGGGTATTTCCAATTATGCATCCAACGCTCCTTCGAGAAAACGGGAGCTCGTATCCGTTCGAGCTCAAAATTATGTCGGGGTTCGGCCATGACATGAACCTTCCGGCCTCGAATTTGTGGGTCGGTATCTTCATGTGGGCCGAAGTTAGAGACCGCTTTCTACTAGCCGACGTATTTGTCTAAGGGGATTTAACATGGTTTAACATGGGCCTCTGATTTTCGTTTTTTCCCATTTTCCCCCGACATTATCGGGAATCAATGCTATCATAGGTTTCGGATGGGCATTGATACGGTTCGCCTCTGACAAGAATTCCAGCTCTCAATGTTCACCCGTTTTCTATACAAAGCGTCGGATGTACATATGTCTGAAAATACTTTTGATCGCTACCGTATGTACTTTACGGGTCATATCCTATATCCGCGCGTTTCATCCGGATGGCGGTAGGCCCCTCGAACTGAGCATGCCTTCAGTTTCCCAATGCCCCCAGGAGGCGCCCTTCAATCGGGGCATGCCAGGCGTCCCCTTCAACTGGAGGAAACCGATACACGTACACCTTAGAGCCTAAATTATTGTGTGATACTCGTGAGTCTTGGAGAAACTCTAGGAAAAAACGCATTCATAGCACCCTATTCCCGAGGATAAAATCTCCCCATCTTTGCCAAGGTAGTTCGGAAGAAGAGCTTGGATATCATATGGATTCGAGTATCTCACGGGTTTACCATGAACGTGCCAATCGTATGAAGGGACTTGGATCTCTGGGAGGTTTTTTGTAAAGAGAGGTTCCCGCCGCGTAGTATAAGCTCGCGAGGAAGTCCAGCTCCACCAGAGATACATACATATATTCGACAGATCGGATTCATAATTTTGTCTATAAAATGTGATCTCGCTGGTCTCCGGGAGAGACTAGGTTATGACGGTTTCCCGGAGCGAGCCGATTTCCTAATAAAGAGCGAATGCGAGATTAAGGAGTCGCTGTTCTCCTTGTCGCTAGCTCTACCAGATCTGAAAAACCTCAAAGGCCTCGTTCTAAATTGGTTCGCGCGGAATAATACCGTTCCTCTCCACCCTGGTCGACGCAGTGCGGGACGCTCCCCGCTTGACCTGCTATCTTGGTCTCTGCGAATAAGCTCGGACCTGAGCGGAAGATATGAGGCGAGAATCCATGTATGCATGCATGCATGAATGAATGAATGTTGAAACTTCACTGAAACTACAGTGAAGGGTTGACAAGACATAACTTTATTAAATCAGAACGATCAGATTCTGGCTGAAGCGCATCTGTCGCTCGTCCGTGTGCAACTCCTGTCTCAAACTATTGTACAAAGGATACAAAGTCTACCCAACTCCACGGCTGGGAGTCACGAGAATCTAACCGGGAGGAGCGAAAATAAGATCTTGGATAAGAAACATCCTCCGGGATCGGCCAGAGCGGTCTCGGATGAGATTTAAAACTTAGCGTAGGATGAGGTGTCTGACAGCTATAAGTACTAATATCACAATGACACATAGTAGGCCGACCTCCAGAAGACGGGAACGACTGGATTCGGACTTGAAGCGCGTTATCAATGAGCCCTGAAGGAGATGAAAAACGATTGTATTTCACGACGGAAGCTGGATCGGCAAAATCTCACGAGAAAAGTCCGAGGCTACAAGCATGCTGAACCCGAGCGAAAATGTAAGATCAATTCATTGATATCTTACCCATCCGCCTTGCTGAGCTATCCACGAAGCGAGGTCTCTCTCCACGAAAAGCGCCAACGCATTCACTATCGTCATGATGTACTCTGGATGTCCTAGCTGTCGGAATGGAAAGTTATATCGTCAACTCTCTGCGCCATTCGCGTCATCCCGATAGATCGGTCCAAGTGATACACATTCGCGAATGGCATGGAGCATCGATTTCATGAATCTCAATCGGAAGCCGTCATGGAGAGAAACACTTACCTTGACGCAATCTATTGCCAGACCCCCTGAGAGCGAATACAATGCAGCTATTCTCCCCCAAGAGATATCATTGCGGAATAGTTCTCGCGCAACGCACTGGAATATTGTCTGCACAGCCGACTCGGACGGAAGAGAATGCACGCCGATGTTCCCGACAACCGTCTGGGAATAAGGTCAAATTTCAGAGATAAGAATGTAGCCATTTCGGTTCCTGATCGCTCTCATTACTGGAGAAGGGGACCAGAAGTTACTTCGCAGATCGTCTATACTCCGGTCCGCTGATGTTTCCATTCTTCAGACAGACCATCTGTCAGGGAGCGCGCTTGACGTCGAACCGCTTCGAGATGAATTTCTTTCGGCCTCTGGTTCTATGGAAACTCTCCTTCTTTTTGAAAAAGCTCGATACTTCTTCCCTGGACGCTGGGCAGCAGCGACAGAATCGGGGAACTGAGTCCGGACTCCGGCTTCGCGGCCGCCCAACGGGATCTACGCGTCCGAATTCGAATATTTCAATGTATTGACCAGCTCGCCCCCTTCAGATTCTTAGATAGTTTTCCCGATCTCCTATTCCAGCCGAGAGCTTAAAAGTCTGCGGTGATCACGAAAGGATTCTTTGCCATGAGCCAAGTCTGGATTATCTTGGAGATATCGAACGTTTCAATCCTGTGCAATGGTGGACCATTGGGACGCTGTAGCGGCTGCAGCGATTCCATCCGATGAGGGAATTGCTCCGTATTTCTAGTTCTTCCAAAAGCGATGGTATTCACAAATCTAACACACTAGCCAACTATCCTTCTCGCGTTTTGTAGAAGAAAACTTCTCCTACGCTGTCGTAAAAGTCCGTCGTAAACTATCGACCTTCGATACCGTGCCTTCTGCGACCGTGTCATGGTCGCGCTCCCGCGACATTCGCGCATACTCAGACTAAGAAACACGATGGACATTCGCTTCCTCGCTCTTGTGGCCTTTTGTTTGGGATTTGTTCCGAGCTTCGGGGAAATTTCTGACTGCGTCCAATTTAGGCGGTAGGGCTGAACCATGCGGTGCAAACACCGCAAGGAAAGGATGGTTGGACGGGCTAGCGAGCGAGCCAGCCAGCCAGCGCAGGATACAGAATCCAGACACCTTTCCGAGTCGGGAGAGCTTTCCTGCTTCCGCTGTGGAATTTGTTGCCTTCCCGAAGCGTGGAGAAGTTTCGGGAGCGAGTATTCGTAGAGCGATGCTCCGAGTAAGATTCAGAGAATGATCGAGACGTGGAACGCCAATACGCTCGTTCCGCTAGCTAAGCTCACAGTTCTATTGAGATCGGCCGCAAAGGCCCAGTCGGTGCAGCAGCACCTCGGTCGTAAGAACACTCTTGGGGATAAATTATTAACGTGAGACGGTTTTTGCTCGCTCGCCAGTCTACGCCTATGCTCGCTTGGTATTCTGTTCAGAGAAGCTGCGTTTAGGGGAAAAAATTCTCTTCGGGTGTATTGCTGAGCCGAGTTCCGTGTCGCTAACCTCACTTACACGACATCTTCCGGCGCTCAGGAAATTTTCTCCAGCAGTTTTGAATTCTTCAACCATCCCCTACACGAAAAACTCGAGCGATCACAGATCGACCGATTTTCTGATTTCAGCGAAATGTTTCTGTGGGCCCTGGGGATCGAGAGCGATCGATAATAATTCAATTGTTCGATTCCGTCATGGTCCTGGTTCTGCGGCTTCCCACGGTATCGCCACAAGGTTGAAACTTGTATCGGCAGACCAAGAGAGAGGAAAACCGTTTTTTTTTCTCGGACGGAGCCTGGGAGCCAGACGTGGGAAAGGAAGCAGGTGATCTATCTGAGAATCCGTCTTTTCCATCCTTCATTCAGGTCCTTTCTATGCTCTCGACGTCCACTTTCACGCAGAGACAGAAAGTGTTGTTCACGTTGCGTGTGTGCTCGGAGCAGCTTCCAAGGTATATCAACTAGTTTTCCCTCTTCTTCCTTTACAATACGTGCGCTGCTCCCGGAGATCGGAACGATTCCCAACAGCCCCATTCTGAATGATATTCCGCGGGCAATAATTACGGGGTTTTGGATGGGAACGGAAAAGATTCCCCGAATGGAGCGAGACAGCATTCCGGACTTCCAGCATGACGAGATGAAAGATAAGGAAGCGAGGCTTTCGTGTGGCTCGACCGAAATAATTATGGGAGACTACGGGATTCGAATATGTTGGCTCGCTCTACCTGAAACGTTTCTGGATGCGTTCTCTCGAGTTCCTGGCAGATGAGTCTAAGTTTGGTGCTGACGTCAGTTGTTGGGTATCCGGAGCACATATTCGAGACCGACTTGAGTCGTTGCAAGCCTAGCTTTTTATGCATGGGCCCGCAGGACCTCAGTTTCGCTCGGAGGTATCTCCCGCAGAGGGCTTTCGCTTGTTCCGTAACCTCGGCCGGGGTCACTATCGCGGGTTTCCAGCCTATGGTCGTAGAAAGTCTGGAAAAGAAAAAGGAGACTTTCATTCCTCTGTGTGCGGCCAGATCGCGGGAGAAGCGTGCAGGAATGAAGCCGAATTCGAGCGAGGGTACGGACTCCGCAGAGAGTTTTTTCCGTCTCTGTACACGAGGAAAACTGTTCCGGAAAACTTTTTTCACTCAAATCCACAATCTCCGGCGGGGTGCAAGGGTTGCGTTCCCAACTTGTTGGTTCTTGCTCTCACCGCGTGGAGCCGTCGTCGAGGAACCATTTCCTGAAAATCTCACTCAGAATTCCCGGACATATAGCCCCTAAGATCTCGGAGAAATTCTTGGGCTTCCAAGCCGTGGTGGCCAACTTTGCAGCGCTTGCCACCTCGAATTTACGCGTCTCCATCCGACCCCGACGCGCGAGGTGGTCCAGACAACGGAACGCATCGAGGATGTCACGCAAGTCCTCGGAATCGATCTCTCCATGGTTGAGCTGATGAGAGCTCCTCCTCGATGATCGGAATGAACTTCTGTTCGCCGACAGAGAGCAAACCGGGACCCAGGTCGAGTCCATGGAGAGCAGCAAACAAGAGAATGACGCGACGAGAACACGATTGTCAATACGATTCTGCCGTACACCCAGCCGTGGGCGTCTACAAACACAAAACCGAGAGACTGGGAGGAAAATAGGCTGTAGCTGTGTGTAAGTCTCTTGACATTTCCGTCTTCCCTTGCCTCAGGCATAAGGGCTTCGAGTTGAAGAGGAGCGGTAGATTTCGGGAAATATGTAGACGTCATATTGTTTTACATTCCCTCCTCTGTTCCGAAACAGTCTCGTTGAGAAGTCTCGAGTAGCATAGCTCAGTTCTTACAATCAATACCTATGAGTTTCACCGTCGGAGACCCTTGGAGGCATCTCGAACGTCCGAACTTACAACGACGGGAATCGAATAATTTGCGATCACAACATCATCACATCATTCCAGATGCATATCCGACGCCGACCGAGGGACGTCGAGGAATTCGACTGGAAGCCCCCCGCCCCCTTCCCCCGCATTCACGCTTTCAAGCATCCAATCACAGGCCATACCGCCCGCCCACTCACCTGTGTGACATGGAGGCTCCCACGCTGGAGAGTTTGCGGAGACGCGCGCTTTCTCTTGCATGTTCCGCCGCGGCCGCGTACCCACTGAGGGACGGTCGTCGTTGATGGAGTGACGACGGTAGACTCAGCTTCCGTTCTCGGGGACTGCCGGGCGCTGAGCTCGACAGACCTTGACCCGGGACGCAGAGCCGATTCAGACTCGAAGCGCTCGAACTCAGGCCCTGGGACAAGGGCAGCGAGATACCGTCGGAACTTTCGAAATGTGTTACGGACATGTCGAGGTCAACATCGACGTCCGACACCGAGATCGGGATCGCTGACGGTGTTGTCAACGAGGTGGTAATTAAGGGCACGGAAGTCATCTTGTTCTTCGGAGGGAAGCGTTGTCTTAGATTGCCCCAACTCGTACTCCGATTTAAATCACCGCAGCTCCCGCGCTTCTTCCCGAATGGGTTAATTGCCTCATTCTCGGACTCGCCTATTCCTCCCGCCGCTGCCGCCGCGGGCGAGTCAGGCTGCAATGGAAAGCAAACATCTGTTAGGAAAACTCGTTTTCGGCAGGATCTCGGGAAGCTGCTCAGGAGGGGACCTTGATATATTGACCTAATTATTGAATCATTTGCTCCAAGCGTTTATTGCATCATAGGATAGGATTTTGTGAAATCCTCGACGCATGTGGTTTGTGCATGAGTCAGCCGATTGCGGTGCGCATTGGGAACCTTCGGATCCTAGCTGAATGAACGCTCAACGACGCGGGACATCGGGCTTAAGATATCCCCACCAAGGCGATATCGAAACATAGTGACCCTTAGGGTGAAGCCCGATAAGGATGACTTGACAGTTATATCTCTACATCAGCGAAGGTGATCTTCGGAGGGTTGCGCTTGCGGGTCCCGAAAGCTAATTGCTGCTGGTAGGGATTCAAGTGAAGGGGAATCCGGTTTGATTGGAGGAAATGAACGACGCGACGACTTTGGAGCGGGAAGCAGTGCGGGAATTTCTCAGGAGTCTGATTGGCTCGCTGCCTGACACCCGGACGTTTTGATTATAGTCCGGCCTGGCGTAGGTCGGGAGACTTGCGACAGTCACGGTGTCATCGAGCGTGACAATATATCTTATTCGTGAATCCTCGGCGAAGTCTTTCACAGAAACGAGCTCAAATAAGAACTCACGCTCTAAAACTTCCTGTTTCGGCTAAACGGGTAAGCCAGTTCCGCTCGGGAACTTTTTTTCCTCGAGGAAAATCGGAGTTCCGAGAAAACAAGAACTCAGGCTTCGATTATATGTTACGAAACGACGTCATTCAAGCTGTTGATTTCTACCCGGGGCCGCCGATCATGAATGGAATCCGCACGACTCATTCTGAGGCACAGATCCATGGCCTGCTATTAGATAATATGGAGGAACACAATTATTCGTGAGAGCTAATAGCTCCCCGCGCGAAAACAACTCTTTTGATGCTTCAAGGAACTTCTGAATGACGTCTTTCCTGTGCTGCGCGCTTGCAGAACTCCGCCGTAGCGTGGGAGCACGCCCCGCGCTTCTATCGCTGCTGCTGCCACCGCTCGAATTATATTCCGAGCATGCACGACCAACCTCCGCTACCTATATGCGGCTCAAACTCGCTTCTCCGCTTTCGCTTAATCAGTCGGTCGGTTGTACTTTTGTGGTCGGGTCGTCGTAGTAGACCCCATGCACAGTCCCCCTTTGCTCTATATACGTCTGTAGTGCAGGCCCTGTTGATACGTCCCGCGCGGCGCCATTCTCCTGAGAGGAGCGATGATGATGACGGTGTTCTCTGCGCAGAGCCTGCCCGCCCATTTTATGGATCTGTTCCGTCCGTCACTGTCACAAACGCCTGATAGCAACGTACAGGGTACATCCATACTCGGAGGTCTTTGTTCGATACGCTGTTGCCCCGATCATTGATTGACTCGCTGAAACATCCTTCTTTGTGTCCTATTGTCTGTCCTATTGATCACGGGAGCCCATCGATCGCCGGCCAAGACGACAGCGACTGTCAGGCGAGAGCGCGGGTCATACCTCAAACGGACCGTTGGATTCGCTCTGGGAGAAATTTATTTCTCCGCTTCGCCTTTCACAGCGCTGGTAGAATACGGAAACGTGATGGGGAACATCTCAAGCATTCGTGAAGCCGTCTGTACACCTTGCGTCTACAAGATGAGACAAGAAAGCATCGGCGCGGGGAAAGTTTTATTTGTTTTTCGAATTTAGACTTTTCGATTTATCTCGACAGGGCTAACAGAGCTCTCGACCGAATTGATTACCGCCGCCGGCCGGTTGATGGGATCGCCACGCCTTGATCCGTTGATACGAAGGAAATGGAAATTTATGGACTTGTGGGAAAGGTGACGAAGATCGAATACGTTGCGTCAATCGCTGGGCTAAGTCCGGAAACACGAACCAACTTCCCGGACTTGATTTTGATACATCACTTGCAGTTTCTGAGGAGTACGACGGAAACGGTGTGAAATTGATTTTTCCGCGGTCAGCGCCGAAACAAGTCGGACTATCGAGCCATCCGACGAGTCTCTTCCGCTCGTCAGACTCGTTTGCCGAGGACTGGGACTTCCCGGCACGACATTCATAGACTTCCAGTCAGAAGACACTTTGGGAAGCTCAAATGGCAAGAAGTTTCCGATTTTTACTCTGATGTTATTGAACGGATCGCCCAAGAATTAAGACCGAGAGCGACCTGTTAACTCGGATTGACCTCAGCGGCCCAAGATAATTGAGATATCCGCATAGGTAGCTCAGGAAAATAGGCGGGAGTTCTCCTGCTCGGCGTCCTGCGCGACACAAAGAATAAGTGGTTTTGGATCCCGTAACTCTCTGGTTTGGTATTCACCGTCTCACTCGGAAACAAGATCTAGATGCCTGTGTCCATTTCTGACGTCCTCCAGCGAGAGTATTCCCACGGGAACGGACGGGAGAGCCTTCTCCACGCTGAACTAATTACGGTGCCCACCCCGAAGGGTTCATAAGGGGAGGGGGGAGCAGCGGCTTCATCCGATTACCGCCGCATCGATCTAACGTCCCAGTGGCACCGTACCGCAGGAAACATATTGTCTCTCCTTGCCTCCGGCTGATCGATCGGGAACCGAGCCCGCCGAACTGTTGCCTCAGTGCGGAGCATTTTGTTCTACAGAAGTTCTTCCACTCCCTGGAAATCTCAAGTTCCGCAAATCACGCGAGTATCCGCTCGGGAAATGCGTGCGGTTGTTTTTTGTCGAAACAAACGACAGACGCTGTCCGGGCACGATTCTCGTTCAATCTACCGTGACATGCGAGCACCAGCAGAAAAAGCGGGAGCCGCTCTATCGGTCACGTGTTGTTCAACCTAACGAGTTCATAGCGAGTTTCGCAGGAGACATAAGAGGTCCATGACTTGCTTAGATGATCTCGTTGCTTTCGCACGGATGAAGAGATAACCTCCAAAGATAACGTTTTGCTAACGTTTTTGTCCGTCTCCGATTACGCCTGGACCTACCAGACCGTGGACCACCGCTACCTCTGCTTCTGGCCCGATATTGACTTGCCGATTTCCCGGGAATCGGGGATTCAGTCGGGCAGCGTTCTGCAGAGGTGCTGGCTCAAGAGGCGCGCATTGCTTCTTGAATCCGCATTCGGAAGGCAGACAGAGACGGCGAGCTTGACAGAAAGCCAGATCCGCCGTCCACGCTGATTTCTCTCAAACGTCCATTGCGGCACTCCATTTGATTGTGGAGCGAGAGCTTCTTCCACACTAGCGAAACAACAGGCCAATGCATCCCTTACGGCGCGCCATTCCGCCATCAATAAACGCTACAAAGGTCCGCGGTCGCACTTGCCGCCGCTGCTGCCGCGCCGCCACCAGCACCGTGACGGTTCCCGTCTAGCGGGAGATATTGTCTCACGAGTATAATTGCGGCCAGAATGTCTTTCTGTGTAGTTCCCGCAGCAGCTGACGTCTCTCCCGTCGGTATCAACTTTCGAGAAGGGAATCCACTCGTGACTATCCCGCATCCGAATGGAATACTCGCTCGAGCCGAAACTTCTCAATTGATCCATTGAGCCTTCCTGATATACTTTCGCCCATACAGCGGAAGAAGACGACCGCCGTAGATCGGAATCAGCCGAGAGCGGACTTCGGTGTGCCTCGCGAGCGAGGATCGAAATCTCCCGAACCTATCTCTAAGTGACCGCCTGCACACTCACGAGCTCCTGGTGCAACCCGAAAGAGGAGCAGAGATACCGCTGAGAGCACCCGGAGAACGACCGGTGAGGTTAAGTTGCACGAAAGCTAAGTTTCCGCCAGCTCTCTCCCGGAAGAAGGTACTACGTCGAGACGGTTCCCCCCGAAGGGTCGGAGCTCGCGCTCAACGATGTGGTCACAAAATCAAACTTACAGTCAGAAACCATCGGTAGGGTTTCGAGCTCATCGCGTGGACTGTGTCGGCGCACAACTGCAGCGCCGAGCCGACAGACGTTCCACTCGAAGCTTCGCCTCGCGCCGCCTCGCCTCGACAGAAGCGTCAGAACAGCTGTTGTCTATGTAGTATCCGATGGACAGTAGACCAATAGTCACGGTAAGTGTGAAACTCTCCTCAAACTATTCTTTCAGTCTCGCTCTCGCTTCCGACCTTCCTCTTTTCTTGATTGGCCACGATATAAACGAGCGGAGCATCGGCCCGAGATTTTTTCCTCACTCGATCCAATGAGAGAGGGAGAGTCCTGAGGGTTTTTCTTGTGTCGCTTTGACTGACCGAGACCTCTCGTGCGGTGAAACAAGTGCGAAAGACGACCTTGGAACTCACGCTTCGTCGGGAGTGATGTCAAGTTGAAAAAGTGAGTCGGGTGTGAATTTCGTGAGCTCTGAAACGTCGCCGAGGGAAAGTAACGGAGAATGCCATGATCCCGATAGTGTGCGTTTATCACCGCCTCGTTGACGTTTGGAGCTCCGATTTACAGTATGTAAATGCCGCGAAGCTCTCCCTGCCGCCTATCAGCGTGCCATGATTTATTGCACTTCCTGCTGAGCGAGCGATGGCTCGTGCTTAATACGCCAAAAAAATGTCAGCGCAGCTCGAGGCGCCGAAAGGCGACAAGACTCCTCTCCGTGGCTCCCTTTCTAATTCTCTAAACGAATACAAATTGGGGTACCGTACTATCTTCGAAGTTGAGGAATGCCATCGAAAGACGCCCAAAGATCATTAGGCTCATCGATTCCGAAGGGCCAGAATTCAGCAGATAGCTGATGAATTCTCTCCAGAAACCAATTGAAGGGAGAGAAATTACAGCGAGCGAGAATTCGGGTCAAAGTTGCGTGGATAGTGGTCCTGGACTTATCATTCGGGTTTAGGTCTTCGAACGGATGCTCTAAAATCAATTCAATCGCGCACCAAGACTCCTCCAATGAAATCGATAGAACCGGGAAAATTCCTCGCACGTGTTCACATCAAGGAGGAAGAACGTAATTTCTGAAGGGCAGTACTCTGTGGGAATTCCTTCGAGAACCCGCGGGAAACTGCCGTACTCCTTGGATTCCCGATTGGAGAGCAGAAAGTGAACACCGGGACCCGAATCTGTCTCCAGGTTCGGCAAAGAAACCCCGAGGGGAAATTTGACAACAAGGGTGAGTGGGAGAAGCGAGACCTTCTCTTTTCCTAAACTTACATTGTCCCCCGAACTTCCTATCGGCTGAACTTCTCTTCGGATCGCTCAGTCGCCAAGCTAGTATTCTTCCTCGTGATCACGATTTTTAATAAATCCATGGTATCTGAACCAGGAAGACGATGCAGATCAATATAACTACGTACGTTAACTCATTTGGTATAGAGCTCCTCTGCCGTAAACCGGTGGAAGCCCTACTGAACTGTGCGGCTGGCGGAGCGGCGAGGGTTCCGCGCGTAGAAGGAGGGAAGGCTCTCTCATCGTCGACATGACAGCCGTTGCTGGTGGTTGTGGTCGTCTCGCATCGTCTTGGGGGTTAATCTTCCTGCGGCACCTGTTCCGTATCGAAACCTTCGGAGCTCGCGGAATTTCAATGACGGCATCAGCACTCTGCTGGCTCAGGCCGATCAGGAACTGGAATAGCGACGGTTTTGATGAGAACTCCCTCAGAGCGAGTCTGCCGTTGAGACGAATCTGCGTGGATGCGGGTGGATTTGCTCCCGAGGATAGGTGACACAAACCCATCCGACGTCCATGACGAAGCGGCTCCGAGATTCGTGGATTGATATCGGTCATTCCATATTCATAGGCCGGAGTCTCCATCACAAAGAGGAGCACTCGACGAGAACAATACAACCGACGTTCGTAATCCCGAATAAGCGCGTCTCCCTCAGCAGGATTTGACAACTCCACAACTTAGATTAGTCTCGGGCGAATTACTCGATGTGTTCTACTACGTTGGGGAATCGTTTTCCTGCGAAATTTCCCGCTTCTCTCCATAAGGCGGCATCGCCCCAGGTGCGCGGATTCGTATCTCCTCGGAAAATCATCCAACCCTCCGTATGATTCGTCAGTGGAAGCTACCTCTGGAACACGGTGCCATCCCGCGGACACTTTTCCGGGAATCGTCTTTTCTCGACGGAGATTCGGTTTCCCGATTCTACAAGAAGGAATTCCCTCAATAGGGAATTGTCGTCGACCATGGTCGGAGAACGTATGCACAATTTCCGTAGGGCATACGAGGATCATGATTTAACTCTCACTTCAGCGTCAATCGGAACCTCCGCTCCGGAGCAAATCAGCGTCAGTTTCTTCGTTGCAACGCATGTTCCACGAAGATGCTGGTGGTACAAGAAGAGGAACAAGGATAAAGTGGTGGGATCGGATCCGGAGTGGCTTCTTTGAGAAAACGAGCGAGGCAGAATGGTCGTCCACCGACCATTCGCCAGCGGATTGTTCTCAATCATAACGGTCGAGTACGGCAGTGAAGGAAAAACCTCAGTCAGTGAATTTCCTCCAGAAATGTATACTCGCTGGGGAGAGCGTCGGAACCTCGACCCATGAAATGACGTCCGACCGATAACAACGCCGACGCTCAGGACTCGATTCGCGAGGAACGCGCGGCGTCGAGCCATGTTTCATGGAGCGGGTCGCTCGGCCAGATGTCGATTATCCGGAGACCTGCCCCGGATAATGCGCGGATCACGCAACAGGATCCTGATTTGACCAGGAGCCCCGAAGCGCACAATCACATCGAATTCATTGAGGGATACGCCGAAATTGAGCTTGATAACGAGCCTGTGGTCCGATACGAATCAGTGATATGGAAGTTGCCTACTCATGACTGAAGTCGACCAATTTCGTTGAACATCTTCGGAGCATGTCGGAATTCTGCGCGGATAGAACTAATTTGCATATGCTCCTGCTTGATTGGTTAGGTGACAATGGATGCGCATTCGTCAATCTCAGTCGATACATACAGCGCATACCGATCCGTGGATGAGTCAGAGTCGGCCGGTGTGGGTGATCCTATTCACGTCAATTGTTATTATTCGTTCGTGTCTGGATGCGCTCCCCATGCTGTAAATCGAATTGAATTCCGAAAGATTCCCTAATTTCTCACCGGCTCGAGAACCACGGCGAGCGGTGACATTCGGTGATTGTGATCACGTTGTATTCCGATCGAAGAATAGAGCACTTTCACGGTGACAGCGGCAAGCCTCGAAAGCCAGCGACGAGTGGCACTGCTCTTTGTACATGACCCATGGACGACAGCATCCATGAGTTGACGTTCGGCGAGTGACTGTCGCTGTCGTGGATGATAGCGGCTCTCGACGCGGATCCGTCGGATGCTTTGCACTCGATGACCAGGTCGGAGAGCTCGACGGCAGCGGCAGCGACGTCGGACGCCGCTGACGCAGCCAGGTCGTTGACAACGACATCCACATTAAATCAATGCTCGATGGCGTCAGGACTGTCCGTCCATTCAATCGGACAAGACGAGAGATGGAGCGTAAGCGGCGTCTTCCTCAATCTTCTGAGGTATGCATATTCCGTCAACGGAGAATCACTTTCGGTGTTCGTTGGATTTCCTCATTCCATCGATTATCGTTATCTAGTCGAGAATAGGACGCTCAATATTGGCGGCGACCTCCTTGTATGTGTCTGGTTTGTCATCCTGTTTCCTTCCTGCGTCTCAATCCTTCCGGCGTCGCATGCCGGACTGGCCCAGCATCCAGAGTCTTCCATGGAGGACGCAGCGAAACGTCGAGAGCCGGGCTCATGATTGACGACTTTTTTCTTGCTAGATCCTTGGTCGGGCTCCACAGCATGAAGTGCTTTCGGAGGGTATCATGGGTTATATCGTAGGCTTCGATCATACTCGGATGATCAGGCGTTAAGCGAATTCTTCAACTGACAGCAACCCAGCAACAATAGATTTCTCCGCTTCTGTTTTCATGAGAGTAGCTTAGTTTCGCCTGATGCTCCGCACGGAATACGGCCAAGGACTCCAGAAACAAAACCGATAGCTGCGTGTTCCCTTCTCCGCCTTTTCAGACTCCACGCTCGGTTGAATTTTAAATCCGGCTCAGCAGCGTGAATGAGTGGATTCGTTGACGGGAGCCGATATGCGTAGCCATCACCTTCCGAAAGAAGATGGGAAAACAGGAATGTTGGAAATCAGGTCCGTTGTCTCCGTCGGCCCGGAGGGGAAAAACTTGTTGTCGAGTCCCGCCCAATTTGGATGTCCTATCAGATATTCTCTTGAAACGTCTCGCCTTGTAACCTTCGTTTTGGTGCAGCTCCAAGCAGAAGCACCTTCAGGCAGGAAAAAAATCAATATTCAAGCCGATTCAGAGTAGTCCTCGGCAGAGGTCTCGCCCGGGGCGGATTTGAACATGCTCAGCTCCCCCTCGATTTGAACATGCTCAGCTCCTCAGACTCTGGTTAGAGCGTGAGACTGTAGGAGGTCGACAGCTTTCTCACTTCTAGAAATCGATGGATCATACAGGCTAAGATTAAAGGTCCAACTTTCGGGACGACAGTTCCGCGACACGACGCCCTCGGCCCGCAGTCCTCTATTATCGGTGGACAGAAGGCGATACAGAATCCAGCCTCATCCAGAAACTGGAAAGAAAAATATGACTCATATCCACTTGATTCGGCTTCTAGTGCGCGGTCCGGAGAACATGATAGGTAGCAGACGGAGACGAGATTTTATTCGCGTGTTCTGTGGTCTCGCCGATCGTGAAACACTTCACTCAATCTTCGTCGTACTTCAACACATGATTAGCCACAGGATATAAATTCACCATGGCAGTCGCTCTGGCGAAAGAGATGACCGCGCTTCCGATCGAATGCCGCACGATTCTTTGGACAGGTCGGTGATCGGCGGCTCGAAAACGTTTATGAGATCGCTTGTACATCGGAAACGTAATTCTCAAGCTTGGCAAGAGCAGCTCTGAACGCCCGTCATACAAAACAGGAAAGATACAAGATCTCATCGGATATGGCTACTCTAGGTGGAACGAGATACAACGTCGGAATGAGTCATCAGTCAATCACCGCGCTTGGAGCACAGGATATCCGCGCGGCTCCAGACGGCGTTCAGCCGGGGATGACACTTCCTGGAGACGATCTCGTAAAAATCTGATCAGAGAAAATCGGTTCCGGTCCCTTTTTCGGAAGACCGAGTCGAGCTAAGGTGAGCGGAAAAAAAATTCGATAGCTTGGTCATACCGAAACGTTTTTACAACCACAAAAAGAGCATGAATCAGCAGTTTCTTGAGGCTTCGCGAGTTTCGACAAGACATGACGAGACTCGACAAGTTTCGCGTGCGGAGTGGGGAGGAGACGCGGAAACTGAAGGGAATTCGATTCAACTCGAGTTCAATGTGATAGTACGAAGGAGATTTATTTACATCAAACATAAATACGCAGTGTCGTATAGAGGAAATGGTTTCTCGTCTTTGGTTTGTATTATATTAGATGACATTTTAATCAAGGATCCGTCGGTTGCATAGCTCCCTAGCTCACCGAATGTAGTCTTCCGTTACCTTACGATTCCCTCATTTTTTCCTCCATATTGAACGCTCACCGAGATTTCAACCATCCACATCCCAGATATGCCACGGTATGTGGGATGTTTTATTTACAGTCACAGACGATTTTTTTTGGAGGAAGAGCAGAGTTGTGGCTAGATTGCCCGGGTCCTATTTACACAATGTACACACAGTCACAAAGTTTATGTAGTCGCGCTTCTCTACGGAGGTGCGCCATGGCTCGAATGGTCGAATTGGATCCGGTAAAACTGAGAAACTTCACATCAATGAGACCGGATGACTCTCTGTATCAACGATTCGAGAGGATCCAGACCGGCGCCCTCCAGTTCGTATGAGTTATAACATCAACTTCCCTGCTTGTTCATTGTCGCAGGCTAAGCAACTACCAAGATTCACTCATACCGAGAAGCAGCTGGAACAGCACTGTGCTCTCCAGGACAAACACTAACAACTGCTACTTTTGTACGAGCTCGGGGTTTGTACCGCGGTTTCGGTGAGAACTCGCTTCGGACTCACTTCGGAACTGTTCGTTGATACAACCGTTTGAGTACTACTACTTGAACTGACGCATTCGTACTTTTCCCTCAGTTGAGACAGCGCGCCCAGCAGACGCTGATTGGTGGCGTCCAAATTGAGAATCTTCGTTTCACGCTCATCGATTATCTGCTGTTTGGCTGCGATCACCTGGGCCATTTCACGTTGCTCCTTGCGTAGTTCGTCCTCGACGGTTATCAAACGCGTGATGATCGACTTCATTTGCTCGTCCTGTAGAGAAAAGAAAATTCCTCTCAGCCTCAACTGTCTTCATCGTGATCGCTTGCGGAGGTGCTGGGATTCGTAGGAGGTTCGACGCTCCATCAGATTAGCGGTTCTTCTCATTCACCGCCGGGCTCGATAGTCAATGAGAACCCAAACCACGAAAGGAGAGTGAGCTCGGAAACATTAACGGATGGGAACTACTAGACCGACGATGTACACGATGAGCGATAAGACATGGATTAAGGGTGGAAGAACTCTTGGAGGAAAAAGGCGTCCAATGATTAGACAATGCATGACGATTGAATTTCGGACGCGCGGGTGCTTGAATGCGGGGAGCTGCTTATCTCATGATGTGATGACGTTGTGCAACCCTGGACGCAGTGCGAGCGATGCGAGCGGAGCTCTTGCCCGGCTCATCCTCAGAGAGATCAAGCAACCCGTGGGCGGCAAGAAAAGAAGAAGAGTCCGGACGCAATCCAAGCGACACTTCCAGCTTCTCGATCCGCGAACTCAATCTCTTGAGATCGATAACTCAGTCTCTTGCTCCCGGTTCTACGGCCAGATCTGCTGGAGTTCGGTGCCGAGGAATCAACCGGCCTACATGAGGCATTCTCTGAACGATGTCCATCCCGAAGGAGACTGGGACTTCAAGTGGCGACAATGAACGGTGTTCCTCCCCTATTAGTCACTCAGTCAATCAATCAATCAACCAATCAATCATGGTAATCAATCTTCCAGTCAGACAGTCAGTGTGGAATGTGCGTGGTGGGTGAGCCGTAACTTGGATTTTCGCTCTAACAGGTGAGTTTCGTACTACTTTCGGGACTGAGACGGGAGCTGAGAGAGTGAATGCATGGGTATAGGGAGCGCATTTGAGGGAGAGCACACCCCGACCCGGAGCTATTGAATACAAACTCACTTTGATGCTTCGAAGTACACACGACGAGACAAAAATGGTCTGTTTATGAGATATATCTGAAGACCGAGTTTTAGGTGGTGAGGTAGAAAGGTGCTTTAGAGGTAGGTAGGTCTTGGCTTAGGGTTGCTTGAGTGGGTATTCGGGTTGTTGGATGGGATCGAATTAATCTTGGCTCGTTTGCTGAAGCGCATTCTGAGCTTCCTTCAGATATAAGTTTACGAGATTCCATTGCGTTTGGATCTGAAACAATCCAACCGATATTAGAGGAGGAAGAACCCAATCGTCTTCTCCTCTGCTTTGCGTTTAGCGGGAATTCTATTGAACGGAGTTTTTGATCGAGATTGTTTCGACTGATAATCTGATCATCGGCAAACGACGACTGGTTATCATTTTGCGGGTACGCGGCTCCTGTGCAAACGTGTTCTAATGGAGCCGTAGATCGAGCGATTTCTTGATCGAAGGTCGGGCGCAGCGCTCGGACCGACTTCTCCTCATCGGTTGAAAGAAATTCGGATGCTCACGGAGCTCGGACAGGATACCAACCTTTTCCTCCTTCTGCCTTCTGAGACGCTCTTCGCCTTCTTCTGCGCGACGTTTCTGAGCCTCGAGTTTCATCTCGGCCTGAGTGAGTTTCTCGTTGAGGTCGGCGAGAATTTCTTTCAGATGACAGACCTGATCCTCGAGGCCCTCACCGACACCCTGGTCGGCTAGGGCCACACCGGTCGAGGTGGCCACGTCTTTGTTCTGAGCAGAAGTAGAATTCACATCAAGATCAGCATCTTCGCACGAAGAAGTTGAAGCGTCACAACTGCTGACTCCACTGCTGGAATATGAGAAAGGAAAGACTCAGAATCGGTCCGAAGTTGACCTCCGTCTGAGGGGGGGACGGGACAAGTTTCGCTCCCGACAAGCCTCTGGTAGGCGAAAACCGCGAATCATGGATCTTCTCCTACCGCCGAGGCTTTGGGCTCAAGAATGATTCGATGTTGTCATTGGCCGACACGGATCACGATGACTCAGAAGGTAGGATGAGGGGTAAATACCTCGCCTATGACCTACCAGTTGTTGTTTTCAGTAAAGCCGTTGGAGAAAAGCGACGTCGGGTGCGTAGCATATGAAATCGGCGTCGAGCTTTGTTTCACTCCCGTCGAATTGAGTGCGCTCAGCATGACATAATCATCACACGTTGACAAGTCCCGGGCGACGACCGGCATCGGTCCCCCTGGCGGCGTTTGTGGAGCCACCGACTTGACCTTGGGGAACTGTACACTATTGAGAGCTTGCAATAGCCTTTCAACATTCGTTTTGGTGGCCTGGCTTTTAGAAACGGCCGGGAATGCGTCCTTGAGCAGGACGTGCAATTGAGCCAGATGCCTCGGACAGTCGATGAGCGTATCGTCGAAGAGGAGCCCTCGAGCTGATGCCATCGGCGGCCCTGAAGAGATTTCCGAAAGGAAGTCTCGCATGCTCTGCATTTCCTGCTCGATGAAGTCATTCATAAACTCCATGTAGTGCTCTTTTCCGCCAAATTGGGCGAAATTCGCTAGGGTCTGAATCGTCTTTGCGATGAGTGTCAGATTCCTGGAAACGCGTTCTGCCGGATATTCTTGACAGAGTTTGAACAGAGACGGCGACAGGATTGCGGGGCAGAGGAAGCGCAGGAAGATTGACGCCGACAGAAGATTGTAATAAAGTTCTTTGCGTCTGCGCAGTCTGTCCCTCAGGATGCCGAAGACCAGTCTCAGTTCGGCGGGGAAGTACGCGGCCGAGCTCCGAATGCGACGCCAAACTAGATCTACGTGCTTCTTGAGTGTCAGTTGGTGTTGGAGCAGAGTTTGCTGGCTCGACACCTTCGAGGGATCGACTTCGCAGTCGTCTGAGTTGAGTAGAAGAAGATCGATTGCGCCCCGCAGTGTCTCTTGAAGGTAGAACTGGCCACCGAGGAGTTTCATGTGAGCTTCCATGGTCTTAGTGGCAACGCTGTTGCCTCGGAATGTGAGCTGCTCATCCTCTGAAAACAGAGATAAAACCGCTACTGGTAAGCTACAGTCCGACATGGGTTAACCCGCTAGCACGTGGGGTTTCGAAATTCAGGGACAGTACTCGAGTAAACAATGAGCGCAGCCTCTGGCTTCAAGTGGACTCTCACTGTGAGAGTCACCGCTCGCGGTTTAATTTACGGGTGCAACGGAATTCGGGCTTATCATCTATTTGTCGGCTATTCCTGAGCTCACCTATTTTTTGTACGTCGTTCATGACTAGCTCGGTGACGAACTCTGTAGCGAGGCCCTGTTTCTGCATGATGTGTACGAGCGCGGTTGCAACTTCTTCCTTCGTTTTCACGGATACGCTAGGCTCGAGTAGCTCGCACAAGGTGGAATAATCGTTTTTGAGGTACTGGAAAAAGTCTCCATAGCACTCCATCGGGAAAACTTCGAGCGATTGGAATTTCGTCCTAATTCGGATCGCCATCGGAGGGGGATTACTACCCATGGTCGAGTTATTCGGCTCGAGAGGATACCTGCCGAAAGAAATCGAATCTTTAAATCTCCGCTGGCGCTAACAGGATGTGACGTCAATGGGAAGCAGGACAGCTCGATAGTCTGGTCAGCTCATATTCACTCCAGGTTCGAGAATACACCGTGAGTATTAGTCAGCGAATTAGGCAGATTTTCCTCTGGACGAGTCACAGAGGTCTCAATTGTCTACGGTATCGATGAGGTCGTTCCAGTTGGGGTTCCCGCGATTCTATCTGGCAGTCAGTCGGAGAACGGGTTTTCTTACCAGCTCTCGGATGGTGTTGGGGTCGTGTTGGTCACGGCTTCGAGGGGAATCCGAACCGTACCGAGGAGCGATCTCTTCTTCCTCTTGTCCACTTCTCGATACAAACTGACAATCAAAGTTTCTTTGATGGACGGCAGATGATCGAACTCGAAGTTTTCTCCCCAGAAACACATGTCCAGCTTCTGTTTGGTGCACGTCTCCGCTCTGAGTTTCCCGCCGATGTTCAATTCGGCGACGTATTTCTTCTTATTCGGAATTCCTTTGGCCTCGAAAACCGTCACTTGGAGGAAGTTTTCCACCCGAGGCTTCGTTCGGAGCTCCAGCGACGACGGGTCCATCTTCTGCTCCCCGGGCAAACGAGCATTGACCAAATACTTCACCCACTTATCCTTTTCCTCCCGATTACTGAAAAGATCCAGAAGCACACGAATTTAGTTGAATCCTTCTTGCTGGCATCCGATTCAGCTCCTATTGAGAAACCTGATCCCGATGGACCTGTTTCCAACTTGAGTAGATTGAATTCCTACGGCTTCACAGACAACGTACTGGGCGCGGAACAAGGCATTCGGCCGCCGGATGAAAAAGGGAGATTGCTCCTTCATGATCGTAATATCAACGGTTCGGATGCGATCTCAGAGCACTGCCGAACGAACTACATTCCACTCCGTGAAATTCACGACGTATCGCCGCTTCAAACGACGATTTTCATAAACAAAGTTTCGCTGTAAACGGTCCCCGTTCACGCCAGCGCTCCGCTGTGCCTCGAGCTTACGCGGGGAATGAACTTGAAGCGACAATGGTGCTTCGATCGACACATCCCCCATAAGCTCTACCGATTAAATGATTCTCGTTGACTGGCTGGCTGGCCAGCTAGCTCGTCTCTCGCACTCAGGAATCCGTCCATGCAGCCAGTCATCGATCGCGTATTGATGCGGCGGCTACGGCTGCCGTTTGACAGTCACCCTATGTACCAGCAGACACTCGCCCAGTCGGCGAGCCAGCGGACCGGACAAGTAAAGGAACGGAACGTCACCCCAAGTTCTGGGTCTGTTGGTCAAGCAATCTACCGTCCCGTAGTAATAATCGTGATGAAAAAAACATCGCTGTCAGCGCCGGTGAAGCAAGAGCAGACATGTTTCCTGAATGCCATGGCGGCTGAACCATATCGGAGCGAAATTGATTCTCGTGAAACATTTCCGACTTCACCGACCGTTTTTTTCAGCGCAACTCGTTCCCGATGATTTTCTGTATCGATCGATAAGTCCCGTCCATTTTCACAGCGAACAGAAAGGGCAGAAACCAGCACAACGTCTTTGCATTGTTCTCGCGGTCCCGAGTTAGGTTTCCCCGCTACGTAAGAGCTCGTTCGATGGCGACCCGATGACCGACCGAAGCGGCCGCGCAAGAATGGCCTATTCTTACCTGCATGAGTAGAGCCGACTCCCCAACTCGAAACAATGTTTATGGTGTTCCCCTTTCAGGAGGGAAGAGTCCACAGCGTGGATCGTAGGGGCCGTGAAATTGTTTTGGCCACCTAGCGGCGTGAGGGTATTCCTTGGAACGTGGCTGCACAGTTCTACATTCGGAACTGGAGTAACACTGCCCTGAATTGAAGCCAAGAGAGATTCGTGCGAACGCGAGTTACGCAGGGCTCCACCGTGATTCACTCTGCAAGGGAAAAAACAACAATCGATTAGCAACGGTGTAGGGATACTGTCTTGACAGACGTTGCATACTCGGTGTCCCATTTTCTTTCCGCCGTTCAAACTTGAATTACCAGGATACCCTTGAGGAATTGCTTCGAGGACCCGAAGGATTCTACCAAAAACGTCCACGGAACACTTCCACCAAAAGTGAAAAAAAAATAGAGTTTGAATTTTTCCATGGTAACGCGCGGGAAGCTCCTTGACTACGATGTGGCGATGGCACGGAGGCATAGGAACGACGCGCGGGTGCACCTGATGATCTAATTCGATGTCGGCGACCCGCAATCCCCAGTGCCGAATCCAGTCAGCCCTCCGATTTTTCTATTCCAGCCGCCGATGCGGCCGCGATCAACAATGACAAGGGCAGCGGTCCATCATCGATCGGATGCTTCGCACCCACGGCGATCATCGCGTCGTCTGCGCCCGATCTTCAGCGAGGTGAAAAGCCATCGAACCGATGAAAGGCGAACTTCGCCAGTGTTTGACCAAAGATTTCAAAAGAAAGTCACTATTGGACGAAATACGGTACTGGCAGGCAGGCAGACAGAGAGATACAGACGAACAGCTTGAATTGACAGGCGGACAAGTTGCCGTCTTTCTTTCGTTTTTTCGTTCAACAATTGCCCTTCGCTTACAGTGTTGAAATTTTTTATGACGCCGACTAAAACCCGGCTCTCGACGCTGATAGTAGGCGCCGTCAGGGAGCATCCATTCTGCGGAGAAATGCAGCCCAAGTTTCGCGGCGTGTAAGACAAACCATACGTCTGTGATAAGGTCGCTGCCGGTACGCTTAAGGTAGAGCCGCAGTGAATGATGAAAGACGCGTTTACGATTGATATTCCCCGTCTCGGAAGCACATCTGATAACAAGGTCTCACGAGAACACAAGAAGCGCTCACAGCGCGATTCACCACAGCGTATTTACTATGTTTACGGTGCGGTATTTCGGAATCGCGGGGAGCGGATGTCCCCTCCGAAACTTTGAACATCACTCCCTGATGGTATAACGCGCTTTACCTGATTTCGAATCCATGCGTTCCACCGTCCGGGGAAAGTCCAACTCAATAATCCTTCGATAAGACTCTGAGCATGGCACATGGAATCACGGGGAGTCTGATGCTCCGAACAGAACAAATACAGTTATTCCGAAGGTGGAGCAGATCCTTCGGTCTCCGATGAAACTACGCGATAATCGCCAGGGCTCACATCACAGAAGTCAAAGCGCACTCTAGGTTACCCTCTCGGTCTTCCTCCCCGTTCCCTCGGGAGTTCTTCGGGAATCGACTTCGGTGACAACAACTCACAGAAGCAATATGGCGAGCAGCAGCCAAGTAAGTCAGCTCGCCAGGAACCGAATCAAGTCACTTCGGCTTGTTCATGTGGTATCCTGTGTTTCCCTACGAGGGAGGAGCTCCTAGCATCCCCACTATTTTCCAGAGCTCTGTTTCGCGGCTGTAGGCACTCTTCGCTTCTTCGGCAAGTCAGTCAGACACTTCGCTCGGTCGTTCCTTCGCGAGGGGATGGTCATCAGATGGAAAGAAACTGGGACAGCCGCTCGACAAGCAAGCGAGCCAGTCAGCCAGCGTGCCAACGAGCCAGCGAGCAGGCAGGCAGCGAGGCAAGCGAGCAGGGAGGAAGGAGGGAAGGGAGGGACGGAGGCAGTCACTCAGTCAGCCCGACAGACAACCAGTCAGTCAGTCAGTCAGTCAGTCAGTCAGTCAGTCAGTCCGTCCGTCAGTCAGTCGGACAGACGGATGGACAGGGAGCCGTGGAAGGAGGCAAGGGAACCCGGCTCCACGAGTATTCCAGTTGCTCGCAACTTGCTCGTTCACCGGCGACAGACATACATTCCTACCGGGCGGCGGCAGTTGAACAAGTGCGCAAGCGAACAAACTGCTCCACCAACTGGAGCGACCGCAAGCGACAGAACAACCAACAACATGGCAACTCGAGTAGCGACAGCAATCCAGCCTCGCGGGAAGAATCCAAATTGTTCAAAGAGCTCTATGGCTATCGACGGAGAATCCACCGAACGGAGTTTGAAACTCGCCCCATTGTGGCTCACAGTTTCAAATTACCGAGTGGGACAAACATCGGAGCTAGAGCGTTAAACGAACATCAGGCGCGCGCGTTGTCGCCTTTGCTCTCAGTTATTCGATTACTAGGACCTTCGAGCCGAGGCACATAAGAGTAGATTTGTTCGTCCCACTACTCAGGACCTTTAGACTGATTGAGCCCTCGGCGCACGTATTGGTGTCGGGTGTCCCATTCATTTTCCCTTTTCCAGAGCACGACATTTCCTCCGGAAAGATGACAACGGTTTCGGACCGCGACGCTATACTAATTTTCACTCGTCTCCTTGACCGGCTCTAATTACACGCATGCCAAGTGAAACGTCACGCGTGCCAAGCCTCGTCTAACGCTTTCGCGTACTAATCAACGGGCGTCAAGGGGTTCGCGAGCCGCACGCGGAAGCGTGGCGGCGCGAACGACACCGAACGGCCAGTTTGCCAACTCCCAGCCTTCCCTACGGCGGCCCTAGATTACGCTGCTGTGAGCTGTCAACTTCACATCTGCCGGGAGATTAACGGCAGCTCTTTCAAAAGATTACCATGCGGTGTGCGCGGATCTGTAGCTATGACAGCGTTTGCTCTGGAAGCCTACCGCGGAATATCTCGAGACAATATATCGATTTACGATATTTGCATTTCTCCATTTCTGTCACCGAAGATATCGATTGTCATCGCGCGAGAGGAAGTCGATCGATGACCAGACTTCCCGGTGGACTTGATCGGAAGATATCAAGATCAAAATTATGTTTATTGACAAATTAGACTTCCCCGATACACTGAACGGGACTGGTAATTCGAGCCATGTACGTTCACGGTAACGTCGAAGCTTCAGTCCTTTGCATACGTAAAAGGGACTCAAATCGGACGCTTTCTCAAGTATCGTAGATTTGTCTTATGGCAACAATCGCAAAGCGCTCCCGGACAGCCTTGGCCGAGACAAAAAACTTCCCACGCGTTGATCATTATGGACCAGACCAGTTGTCAATGCTTCGGACAAGTAGTCCGACCAGCACAGCGACTCCCCTATGGTCGACCACCCTTGAACTCCGGCTGGTCATCGATTGGCTCACGAGAAGGCTTCATTGCGAGCTCAAGAGCCGAACTCAAGCGATCATGGATCTTGACCCTCCACGGGAGATCTCAGCTCCAGTAGCGACGCGACGAAGGATCGGTGCCAAACGAACTCCGAGGTGTAGCTCAACGATTTGAGAATTCTCTCATGTTGACCGAGTTGATGGAGCATCTCGTGCTTGGATCGCATCAAGTCGAGCAGCGCTCAGATCAGAACCGCGGGTTCCACCACCTCTTCAATGTCGAACGAGGTGCAAGCGGATGTTATGCGTCATATGTGTGGGCGATGCCACGATCGTGGCTTCTTCCCAGTTTGTCAGGGGGTGGACGACATGTTCACCGATGCTCGCTGCCGCCATAACAACAGCCACACACTTCAGCTCAAGATCGTACGCCTACTCTGCTCGACAGATTCCGCGAAGCGAGAAAAATATATCGCCAAAAGCAGCTGATCGTCGAGAGCCAGCTGACTAAGGATCGAATAGTTAATTTGGGAAAATCGTCTCCCATGGGCTCGTGGACTAAACGCAAGGGGCGAAACCGAACCAAATACATTAATCTCCGTGTGGATGTAGATCGTTTGAAAGATTGATCGGCATCGATTTGTTGACGCACTATTATCGTTGGAAGCATCCTTATTCCCAATCTTGATAGAGTCTTTTGCAAGGCATTGACGGGCATGATGATGTACATATATGTAGGTGATGGTCTGCTCGACGAGCGCTCGCAGAATTTATTGCCTCGATCGGCTGGAACCAGCAAGAATTTCGACGCCTTCTACTTTCTATTCTCGTTACAGCGGAGCTTTTCAGCGCAGGCAGAGACTTTGCGCTCAATCGAAATCGAGAAACGCCTCAAGCCTTCATCCAAATTAATACGGGGATCTTATGGACATGCAAAACTGCGCAGTTTTTGGGAGCCGTCTTGAGGGAGGCGTCGCGTCGCCTTGAGGATACTCTCAGACGTTGTATGACGTGAATAATCTACGAGAAAGTGAGACCCCCTAGACGAGACAGTGGACCTACTTCTAAATGGCTCAATGATTTCATCCCGGATTAGTGTTCCGCTTCGACTTCTGCCACGGCCTTGAGCGACACAGGAACTGGGCGGAACTCGCGAGCTCTGTCTCGTCTTGGGAGGCGAATCTCAAAAGGAGAAGCGGATGACACAATTTTTCTATTCCATCCGTTGAATGCAAACGTTCCCGTTTGTTTATGAAGAATGAAACTCATTACTGAAAGACCCATTCTCTGCGGCTGAGGGGTGTCACGTCTCCGGAAACTTGCGACCTTCAGAGTCAAATATCCGTAGCATAACTTCAAGAATTCTAAATTGAATAAATGTTCCAGCAATCAGACCGACCATTTTGATTTTCGAAGCTGCCCTTTATGGAGCTTTAATGACGTTGTTCTTTTCGGAATTCTGATTCTGGAAAGGTTCTCATACAATAAAACTCGCCTGACTACACATATCGATTTTTGGTCGAGGACACGACCTGCTGTTCTCCCAGTTGTTCACGCCGTGGAGCGAATCAGATGAGATCCGGCCGAGCGACCGATTATTCAGTAATCTCTAATCTCATAGATATTCATGTGATCTTAGCGCAACGGCAAAGGAGCCTTACAGGGCTACGGTATTATATGCCGCCCCGAGAACAAATACCGAGAGGAATATTCAGGCTATGAGGAGATTTAGTTTTATGAGAAATTTTTTCACGATACATTATTTGCACAGATGGCGCGTTGTAGATGCCGCATCGCGCGGAGTTGGATGGACCCTCCGTCGCAGAAAGATTCGGAGAACCAAATCACACTATTCGTTTTCTGAAGAAGAGTCACTCACCCTTCGTTGCGCAGCAGAGTCGAGGTTCTCTTCCTGTCTAGCTTTGTGACACTCTTCGTCCTCTTCAGCGGGTTATTCTTGAAAGACTTTTTCGAAAAAAAGCTCTGGAAGGGAAAATCAAATCTCGTTAGAAACCCTCGGCAGTCCAGACTCTACGCCTTTTGTATATTGTAAATATGAGTCCCCGATGTTCCAACAGGACACAGGCCAGAGTCGGCTCGGATTACGAGACGTCAACAGGACGCTCGAAACGTACTCGAAACCTGCGATCGAATCGCGAAAAGTATCCATTGCTCTCTGGTCCTGTACCCATCGTGGGGATGATATACTCCGCTCCTCTTCTATATATCCTCGGTAGATTCGATGCTTGGCACACGGATAGAGTTGGAGAACCGAGTGGCAAAAACGGGGAAATTCACGACACACACAAGACGACTTGGAACATCGGCCTAACAGCGGCACACGACGACACAGACACGTAAAAAATAAATCTGAGTATTCCGAAGGAAAACGATCAAGAGCTCAAGGGATTTAGAGGATTTAAAAAGAGCACGGCCGTCGGAGAGAATTGCTCGAAGAAGGAAGAGAAACATCAACTCCGACGGTCACATGGCGAAGAATCGCCAGCAGCGGCAAAGCAGCAACAACGACAGAATTGGTGAGTGACGTTCGACTGCTCGCTCGCTTTTGCTAAGTTGCTTGGTTGGTTTGGTCTTTCGCATCGCACAGACGGCGACTAAAGCAGAAAATCCGTGGGCGACACCGCACAGACAAACGCCACGGGCAGGCAGGCAGACCGTCCGACTGGCGAGAGCAACAGTCAGTCAGTTCTTCCGCCCGTCCATCCGAATGGACGGATGCTCGGGGAGAAACACATGGGAGTGCGCTTAGACGACGATGATGACAAAACACGGCGTCGACAAAAACGCTCGCCATTGTGCGTCCAGTACAGCTCTGCTCTCTGTTTGTTTTAGTACTTGCACGACGGAGCGCAGCTGAGGCATATTCGCCTTCCACGTCCGTCAGGCTGATCCGTGTGTCGATTCGTCTCCGTCGAAGGAGACTGGACGCAGTCGGACAGCCGTGAGTCTCATCGACTCAAAAGACTTCTGGCAGCGTTCACTCTCGGAAGGTCTACCATCGGCATTGTGAAAGGAAATGATGGACGCGTTAGGCGGAAAGCGCCCGCGGAAATTGAGTCAATGCAGTCATCCCGCTCCGAGCATCGAGATCCATCGATCCATCGATCCATCAGGCCAGTGCTCGACGAGTAAATCGAAAGCCTCAGCACGGATCAAGGAGGCTTTGTACTTTGTTTGATCTTAAGATTGCGAGGAGCGCAGTAGCCGATTGGTTTTGTTTCGGAGCAGCGCCCCTTGGGCGACAGCAATGCGTGCTTTATTCGCGTCGACTGGTTTGTAAATGCCGCCGCCACTTTCAACTCAGCGCTGCATGGCGAGGAGCGCAGAACTCATCGTGTTCCATAGCCAGGAGATTGAGGCGGGAAACTGAATCGGGCCCGGAGGAGGGATATTTGGTGACGATCCTCGTCTTTTCACTTTTTTTTCTCCCAAGGCGAGTTGCTTGAAGAGACTACTCCCTTCACGAAGCATGACCGTTGGGTTCTCTTCAGAAGCCCACAAAATCACCGGTGTGCATCGTCAAGTGATCACAAGCATTGACTTATGACTCACGGTCCATAACCACGCCAGAAGCGAACGAAGAAAAAGATGGACGAACCGTGATGGGTGCCCAGGCGCTACCTCCAGCGGTTGAACTTGACTTGAAGTCAAGATCTTCAACGTTTTCCTGCGCGGTTCAAACCGAAGCTCAATGGAGAAAGAAAATGCACAACGACCCACCGACGTCTACAAACGTGTTCAGGCTGACAAGTTCTCCCGCCTCAGGGAAAGCATCTTCGTGAAATAATCCCATTCATTTCATCTTTCGAAATCTCCTCCGCCGCCGAACGAAATCGGGATGTATTCGGGTTCAAATTTTCAACATCCGAAATGTTTTTCATTTCTGAGCGATTTCTCATAAACCTCGCTCTCCGCGATCGATCGTGGGGAATATGTCACGAGAGCTCAGTTAGAGACGCCCTCGTCCCCCGTATTCTTCGTTTGAGTCGCCCACGCATTTCTTCCGTGCCTTCCTTTGCTTGAGGGAACATCCCTAGCTATTTCCTGACGGTGAGAGATGGGACGGATATGAGAGAAAAATGAAAAAGACGTTGGAAGATCCTGCGCCAAGCTTCCATGAAGCTCTCCATCTTCTGGAAGGTTCCCATGGTTCCCTCTCGCTTGCTTCCGCACCCTCTGAACAGGCCCCCGGATTCCGCTGGGAGCTGCGAAATAATGGAACTCATCCGAATCCAATGAGGTGAGCAATCTAGCCTCGGGCGAAGCTCGACAGCTCTTGATGAGCCGAACACGAATACAGAAAAGCGAGTCGTCACGCGCCGGTGTCGCCTTCTGAGATCCCGCACGGGGGAGGCGGCTCTTCTCCACCGAACGGGTTCATCAGTTCCAGGTCCCGGAAAGCCTGGGTCCGGAAGCGCCGTCGTCGTCGGCCAGAATATGACCGTACAATTCACAATCGATGGGCTTGTAAGGAGACCGGTTCGGGGCGGATAGATCCTCCGATTGCTCGATGAAAGTTCGTTGGATCTATGCTCGAATAAGGATGATCACCGGGCGTCGATCGCTGCTTCCGAACGAGACATTACAGCTGGTCAGAAAAAAAGTCATCGTAGCAACGGCGAGCGACCTGCACTCGCTACGTTCGCTACGCGTCAATAGGTTGGTTCGTCCGACGACGATGTTCGCCGGACTAATGTGGCACAGCCAGAGGCGCAAAAAGAGAAGAAAGATGCTAAGCGGAGGCAATGCGTTTTCTTTTTTCTGCATCGGTCGATCCGCTCGCTGCATAAGAAAACTCGAGGAAAAACTCTTGCTCGACCGGTCCGATGCCCCATGGTTCTTTTTCACGCAGCCGGTCTCCGTCAAAGTCGATTGCGGTGTCCTCCGCTTGTCAACTGCGTTCATTGGAGCTTGCCAAGCGAGCGAGCAAGCGGAAGAATCTTCATCGAACCCACGGAAAACCCTCGTCGCGAAACGCTGTACTGTATTAGTTTCTCCAGCATGCGCCGTTCGTGGACCAAGCGGAGAAATTTGCTCTTAATGACCCGGAACCCGGATATATTCACGCTTTTGATCCTTCAAGACCGTTCCGAATCAATGTTCGTTCGGGACCAAGAATGGATTATTAGCGGAGTGAAGTGCTAATTGCGCGATCCCGAAGGAGAAAGAAAACCGGAACGACTCAGAAGAACTGATCAGCCGAGAAAATTACCATATGCCGGGATCAGTGTATTCTCCTCTCAAACCGATTCCCTTCGGCACGTCCTCCAGTCTCGGGCTCTCTACTGACGAGGGCTCACTCTTCGATCTCGTTGATGATGGGACCGTTTTCCCATCTCTCCCCAGAGAAAATATCCCGTTCTAGTTGTCAAGAAACGCTACCGATTCGAGGAGTCACGCGTGAAGCATCCAAATGATGCGACGATTGGATTTATAGCTCCATGATTCGGGTCAAGTCGATGTCACTCAAGACGACCCCACATCCCGAGTCAGAGCGTTTTCGATTGATGGATGCAACGAACGATTGATAGGAGGCAGGTTGATCGATGAAAGCATCCCGAGATGGATAACGATTGGGTAGGGGACGAGAGCTAGATGAATAGATGGCCGACACTATGTGCAAGCAATGATCGAAGCCGCCGTAGGTATGGATGATACCTTCGCTCTAGAAGCCATTGCCTGCTAACGATGGTTCTCGGTCGTTTGGACAATTCTAGCCGAGCTCGCAAGCACCCCGAGATGACTCTAGGAGATCCGAGCAGAAGGTGCTCGAGACTACTGGGAGGCCCGAGTCAAACAGACCCGATTCATGAATGACCTCGGAAGTCCCGCGGTCCGTGAATCTCAGCGAAGCTCCTAATACGATACGTATGCTCAAGCCTCGGATCTACGGGCAGATATCGACAGGAACGGCGACAGGTAACTTACACTGAATCTGGAAGTGGAGTTGGTGTCCGATGCTGCGGTCGGGTCAGAGATCGAAGAGACGTTCCTGCCCATAACAGGGGTGGAGGGGGCTGAACTCCGCCGGCTGTCCACTGCCTTATCATACGAAGTTTCTACAAAGAATGGACTTCTATTAGTTCTGGGCCTAATTTCCCAGGGCGGGAGGTTCCATCGAGCAGGGAGATTTGAACATCGGGGTCTATTGAGCATACGGGTGCTAGGTTTGGTTCCAGGCTTTCAGAAAATCTCATTCACAGGCATAATCGTCGCAGTTCAATTCGTAGCTACAGCACGTTCTTGGACCGATTTATCTGGAGCCCACCACGGAGCTCTCTTCGGATGCAGCATTGTCTGTCTAATTGTAAGATAATCGTTTGCTACTGAGATTTCGGGTCCTCTTGGCCGGGGAAAAAACGTCCCCCCGGTCGTCCTGTACCTTTGAACCTCTGCAAGGTCTTCCACATGCGATCTACGGTATCCATATCGGTTTTCTTGTCGACTACGAGAGATCCAGCAATGCACTATTTAATCCAAGGCTTCTTCGGTATAGTTGGATGCATGTACTTCAGTATCGTCGAATTTCGTCGGATACGGACCGGGGTATCCTATGTCGTGTCCGCTTAACATCGCAAGAGTCCCATTCCTTAAGCACTACAGCAAGCACATCGACCGTAGCGTCGCTCGGCGTTGTTTTCTGTGGCGACTCGATCTCTTCGTCTTCACTCAGTCCGACTTTGGGATCACGCACTTGAATGAAGCTCTTCCCGTTGCCAGATGGCCGGTCGGCCGACCGACCGTAAAAAGTCGCAGACCTCACGATGCCGAGAAAAGAAGAAGGCAAGGGTACCAGCCATTCGGGGTGAGAAGGTAGTAACGACATCGCGAGATGCTTTTTCCCCGACTGCCGTCAATAGAAGTGCACACAGAGTCGGACAATTGACAATCATCCATTCCCGATGGTTAAGCTAGAGCCCAACGAGACGCTAGCTTTCGACGTCGATATGAAAAACACTTGAAGGCGGGCGATTTTGGAAACAGTACCCCTTGGGTGAAACTTCAAACTACTCTTCAATTTCGACCTTTCTATCACATCTCCCGTCGTGGACACTTCGCGGATAGAACGAACGCGATACTGTTTAATCTTTCCGGACCGCGAAGATGAACAAGCAGAACTCAATCGAAGCAATATCGCCCTCAGATACTCGCCCACTCGAACGATTTTTCGTATCTTGAGCCAGGTCCGCTGAGAATCCCTCAATGCTTTGTTCACCGTCGCGATGGTCACGAAACTAATACTCCCTCCGTATTGGCTCCGAAAAAACTAACCTCATGCGATACGTCTCAAAGTAAGCCTCATCGTCGGTATCCAATCGCGGGAGGGTTTCTCGGAAAATACGAGTCAAGTTTTACCTTCCGCTCCTCGCTCTACGGGGAGCATAACACAGTGCGTATTACGTCCGCGGGAAGAAATTATCTCAGGGCTCAACGGGTCAGTATCTGACGTCGTTAGACCGACAGGCGAAAATCAGTACACACGAACATCTAGCGGATACGGAGAAGGCTGTTCGTAGACTTCATCATTAGCTTAAGGTCCGAACAGCAAAATCCCACGGTTTGACCCCCGCACATCTTTCGCCAGGAGGGTCGGTTGCCTGCATCTGGTCTGTTGCTCTGTTGGACGGACGTTTTGTCGTCCGAATGAGCGACTCGCTAGCATCCGCCAGGGGGCCGAGTAACCCGTTCGTTTCCATGATGAACACGATTCACGAGCATCCATCACTCTATCATTAAAACAGGACTTAAGAAAAATCTGAAACTTCGCATCACACGGCAGGCCGATAAGGTTTCGGAGGACCAGTTAGATGCTGTACTGGACTCAGTTGGGAGAGATTCGAGGCTGATCTCGGACAGGACCGAGACATACAGACTTTGGAAAGTGTTTCCCGATCGGATCGGGGAAGACATGCAGTGATATCAGGCTCTACGAGCGAGGAACTCCTGGTCATTTCCATTGCGAGGTCGCAGAGTTTTTGAGTTCCTCCATATTCATCACCACGGTCAATCGATGCAATCATTCCTGTGGGGACGCAAGTCACGGTGCGGGAATTCGATTCCTCCCAGGATTCGGAGACGGTGAGCGTACCTGGAGATAACTGATTTTGCTGAGGCTGCTGCTGTTGTGGTTGGAGCACCGGACTTCGCGCGTACTGGAGAGTATGCCGTCGCCCGACATACTCAAACTCCGTCTGAGTCAGCTGATCTGAAGAGACAACGCGACTTTGAGCACGGGAACTACACGGAGGATTCCTTTCGGACGGTCGTTGACAGCTGCTGCTCCTCCAGCTCGTCTGGTGACACTCTACCAGCTCAAGTTCAGAAGGGTGATCACGAGTGTCGTTCTTGAGAAGATCGTATCGGCGACAAGCGGACCGTGATCTCCGAAAGAGTCGCATCGTAACTTGCTGGGTAACATGCACCGATTTCACTTCCTTAGCATACTCGGCTGGGCGCAGAATACTCGTCCGCAAGCGAACATCGTGGCGCGTTTCTACGAACGAACGAGCTCGATAACGGACGCCGCCGAGGCCGGAGCGGAAACGGCCCTCGAATCTACGCACAACCTGAGGGAAAAACCAAACTTGGCTTTCCGGTGGCCACTTTGGTGTTCACCATCCCGCGTTGAATGCTCTCGAAGCCCAATCCACGCCGAGAACTTTGAACACAATAATTGAATTCCACAATTCTGGGGAGGAACACTCTACGGAGAACGAATCAGAAACAACTACGCCGTCGTCTTTCAACGGTTGTGGCGACTGTTTTTAATTCTCGATCTCCGGCTCGGGTGCTTCTCCCATTCGGTCGAGGTCCCTGTTCGGCTTGAAGCAGTCGCCGCCGCCACAGTTTTCCCCTCCTCGTCTTTTTCCTACAGGGGCCCTAAGAGGACGGCTCTGTGCTCTCTTCCGAGATGCCTTCTCTCTACTTTGAGAAAGAGTCGAGCCATGAGAAGATTTGCTACTCGAACCGAAAAAGCTGAGTGGAGAATCCCGTAGAAAATCCCGGCCGCCCGCTTTCGAGCACGTAGAGGCAATCGAATATTAACGAAATAATAACAGGAAACGCCAGCAGCCAGAAAGTCAGAAAAAAATCACGACCAGCCGGAAGCGCCTCGCCGCTGAGCCGAATTTTCGTCTAAGAAGCGCTAAATCACTAAACACTGGAGGGCAGAACGGTACATGAATATCGAGTACCCGATGAGATAGCGTGACAATCCCGAGCGGAAAGATCAGAAGGCGCTCCACGCGTCTCCTTTCCATCGGTCAAAGGCTTCTCTACTTGATGCTTGATGGATCGACATGTTTCCTCAGAACAAGTCGTCCGGAATGCTGTTGTGATGATGGAAAACGGAAAATCCGAACAAAGAGAGCAACTGTAACAAAATATTTTCCCGTGAACGTTGCTGTTTTGAATCAAAACGCGAAGAGCCGGAGAGATCTCCATATCAGAGTCATTGTTCCACATGGCAGAATATGAACAGTGCACGAGAGGCCCTTAGAGAACACTCGCGGTGTCGTCGACCAGCTCCTCCGCACATATACCTAGGAACTTTGTAGTTCACTCCGATTAAGTGAGTGAAACACTCGCACACCAATTCAAGAGAACCACTAAGTATGTTGAGACATCTTTGCTGACAACTCGTGAATGGCCTGGTACCTGGAACTCATGGCCTTCTTTATCCTCGGTGATTTTAATCTGATCCGGTGGTCCCGATGCGGATTAGAAAGCGCGGCGCCACCATATGAGAAAAGGAGGAATATCACAGATGGAGATCTATATGATCTATATGATATTGGATCGGATCATGAAGCAATTGGACTAGACGAAAATAAAATAGGCAGAAAGCGTCGGAACAACTATCTCCCCGAAGGACTTCTTTTTCCTCAACACTGAGGCTCGCACACTCCGAGCTCGCTGATTCTGAATTATGGGATCCCGCCAGATAATTGAGCCTGAGATCCCGCATCGAAAATCTGAATGGAACTCCAAGGGAAGTTGAGAAACCCTGCGATGGATCCTAAGGACTCATGCTCCGCTGCCGCGGAACTAGATGGGGAAGCTCTTAATTCTCAGCTCTTCCTTGGTGCTACATGCGTTCTCGCTCCGACCCGCATCACGGGAGAATAGTTCCCTAGCCCTAGGGGATCTCCATGAGTAGCCCATCTCTCGGAAAATATACCGCCTGTTGATTCAATCGATTCGTCGTGATTCATTCGTCCGAATGACAACGAGGGTCTTCGCTTGAGTTTAGACATTCTACCGTCGGAATGCTGCAGGGAATATGATGAATAATGAGAGAAATTTTGGTGAGAAATAACCGCTAAGCAGATCTGATGACACGTGGGAGGACTGGTTCGGATGATCAGCGAACTGGGATGCTGCTCGTCCGCAAGTGTCGTGGTTCTTCGAGAGTGAAATCTGCGATTTACCGGAGGTCGACTTCGCTCGAACTGCAGCTATCCGTCTGTTGAATCAGCATCAGCTCCCTTCGGATGCAGTCTGGTTGAGGACGACGTGATCCACCGTAGAGCCAAACAGGGCATCCATTCCATTGTTTGAACCGTCTCATATTTTCCCGGATACGGATCAGATGTAAGACTTCTGCTATCTTGATCACTCATATGTGATAGTATCCTAGACCCCGAACGAAATGCGAGCTAGATTTCATGGCATCCCAATGCGCACTCGGAAGTGCGGCATCTCTCGGAGCCAAATCCGGGTCTCATGTCGGAGACTCCTCAATGATCTATCTGTGATCAAAAGATACGAGTAAGGTCAGCGAAGGTCCACGGTGACTCCTTATCTCCGCGTTGCCTCGAGCTCCTAAACGTGGAGAGCGCGGCTCAGAGCTTTGGTCGAGGAATGGGATTACAGAAACGGAGAGAGCTGGGACACAGGACAAATCCTAATCACCAATAGTACGTCAGGTGAGCGACTACGGAATCGTAGCGAGAGCCACGATGATCGAGAATCCTCGGACCTCGAGGTCGGGGAATCTCCTGAGTTGAGTTTTTCCCTCACTGCACAAAGGTGCGAGAAGCGGGCGTGATCTCAGCGTGATGCAATCACGACTCTCGCTCAATAATTCTCGATCGTGAGAAATAATGTGGGCAAACGATACAGCTGAGCAACCTATATGTAGAATGACCTACTAAATCGACGACAACATCAACAACACGCTACTCTTAGAACAGCTACCGACTGAGCCGCAATAACTCGAAGCCGTTGGAAGTCGCAGCAGTGAGCCACCTAACAGTCAGGCGCTGGTCGGAATGAATAGCTCGAGAGCTCCGCCGAAGCTTGAGTTTCCGATCAAAATGCCTGCCGCTGACGGTCTTTGCGCTGTAAACATCTCAGAATATTCGAGGCTCGTCAGCTCTCGAGTGGTGGCGGAACATTCCAACCAGTCCACTCTTTTCCGGAGGAAGAAGTAATCCTCTATGGCTTGGCTCTTTGGGAGCTTTTCTCACAGTCGGTACCTCCCTCGAGTTTTTCGAAATCAAGGACAGAATCACGGACGAGCCCAATGAATGAGAACTCGACTCCGACAGATGGCTTTGGAACGCTCGTTTACTATCCAATTTCAAATCCGTTAGCTGTCAATGGAGCGATCAAGTGAAACTTGGTTCCAGGTGATTTCCGCTGACCGTCAGCTCCCTCCGGCTGGTCCACTAGGCCGGCTGCGCGTGACTTCGTCTGGCATGGGCATCGGACAGAATTTTTTTCTTCACCGTATGAATAGGAGAAGGCAGTTTCTATTTCAGTAAGTTTCCCCTCTCCCCTTTAACGTCGGGCAACGATTGAGCCGCCTAGCCGAGCTCATGTGACTCATCTCTAGGCGAGGAGGAACGGTAGTACCTCCGTCGCCAATTTTTGCGACAGCCACACTGCATCCATGGTCGAAACAATGGATGCTTATAGAGAAGCATGCTCTGCCGACAAAGCGCCCGAAAAATGGTCATGCAAAATAGTTGTTCAATTTCGATAATCGCTCACTTTGACAACATCCCTCATTTGATCAGAATTCCCTAAAGGAGGCGTTTTCTCGACGACGGAGGGGATTCGAAGCTCAAGGACGAGTTCCAGTTCGAAATTAAAATTAAGTTCATCGGCAAAGATTCTCACGGCGGAGGCGCCTCGAGCAGAGACTCCATGCGCTCCTCATTGGCCGTTGGACCTCGAAGAACATCTGCCCCCGGATTTCACAACGGCTTTCCTCGCGGGTGCTACGATACGAAGTGAACGTTTTCGAGACTTTTGAATTCCGTGGCGATCTCATATGACAGTGTCATTTCGAAAAACAGACATCAGGGGCAGCTGCATCTATCAACCGAGGCTGCATCAGCTTGCAGAAAAATTGGAAAATTCGAACCAGGACATTTTCGGAGCAGACTGGGAAGAGTTAATAATTACCTTCGTCAACCTCTCCGGCTCCCGTTATGCACAGGAGCCGAGTGACTTTCTTAGACAGCGTCATTCTCGCTTCTAGATTCCTCGCGTCTTCATCTTCGAGCGCAAATCTTCAGCCATCCCGACTGGAAAGAGGGCTTCCAGCGCGGCACCACAGAACAGTCGTCGAATCGCCAAGAACACTCGACGGATTCGGCGAATTCGGGCACAGAAACACACTTAAACACCGGGAAGCCGTAAGCAAGCGAGCGCGAACCGTTCCCGAGCGTTGACGGACTCACGTTGCGAAGACCAGCTCGCCGTCACGAAGTCCCCCAATGGCTGAGTTGCTTCTCTTTCTCCAAACTCCAAAGGGGGTTCAAACACTGTCATCAATCATAAGAACGTCTAACACAGTCTATAGGATCCACAATGGCAGCTTAGGCTCAGTGCAGTGCACACGGATAACCGTCAGTACGGCGACCACTGTAAGCTGCGAATGTTTCTGTTGTTGTGCCTTGTTCTTCTCTCAACTACAACCACCACCATCACCGTCGCAGCCAATGAAACAGCAGACAGCCTGTTGCTTCTGGCGGTGGTGACTGCCGGCTGCTGCTACCGCCGATGCTAATGCATGGTGGTGCTGCGTGGTGGTTGCTACCTAGTCGTCGTTTGACGACGGCGCCACCTGGTGCCCTCACACCGACTCACAAAATGTGGAAGAAGTGCTGGGTACCATGATCCTGCCATAGGTAGATCTGGGTCCGAATCTTCGACCGGAATCGGGGTAAGGTCGAGTCGCGAGAGAACATACTAGATGATTCAATGCCGAGGTTCGCGGATGGCTCCAATCATCCGCTCGGGTCCCCGAGGATCCCAGAACCACACCTACTACGTACGAAATTCAGAGTGTTCAGTCTGAGTCGACGACAATGAAAGCTCCGCGGCCTCGGTCAGTCACGGTTTCGAATCTCCTCCTTGACAGGGTTCAATCCGAATGATGAAAGATCAGAATTTTTGCCCCTTATTTCATTCCTGCTTCTTAGGGAAGTGAGCCCTGGGTCGCATTCTGCGACCGGCCCGAGAGGAAACTACAGCCCCGGTGTTCACACAAGCGAGCGTTCACATCACATGCTCGGAGGCAAATGATCAGAAAGGCGTAAAAGTTCTGATAACGCCGCAAAAATTTATACGTGCGTGGTCTTGTCGTCTTGAATGATTATTAAAATGAATTTCTTCTCTTGTTGCCGTGTTGGGTCCATTGTTCCGTCAGGGATCGTGGTTGACATTTATCCCCGTCACCGTGAGAATACGCTAGAAGCGGACGAGAGAGTTCGTTCGCCCTTCCGTTATCCGTCTCGTCGCATCGATCGTGGGAGACCTAATGAGATAGCTTGATGAGCTAACAGCGCAGCGTCTCCAGATTCCGGCTCGACCGTTTGTCGGGGCAAGAAATCGGGTCCCGAGCGTTCGTGACGTAAGGGTTGTGCCGTCGTCGACGTGAGAGTCAGTGAGCAGAACGGAACGTCGACGTTGAAGCTTCGTATATTTCGGCGAGCTTGGCTCCAGTTCGAGGTTTGGGAGAGGCGACCTCAATCGTTTCTCAGAAAGCGAGGTTTGCTGGACGACTGCAGTCTCGCCTCTTCGAGCATCTGCCAGTCACCGGACGGAGGAAATCTTCTTTTTTCTTGGTTCTCTCCCTCGCGGGCTCTCAGACACTCACAGACTTTAATATATTCACGAGTCGACACGCGCCGGGTTGCCGTCCCCCTCTGCATGGTCAGCTGGTTTCGGCTCTTCGTAATAATCACCGGCTCCAACGACCCGACTTTTAGACGCATTTGGATGACGTCATCGCGAATAGAATCTCTGTTCTGATTCCTTCGTATACTTCGATGCTTTCCGAGAGCAGGAAGTTTTCCGATTACTGTGGCGCACAACGGACGGAAGGAGTTCCTTCAGCGAGGACTCGATTAATTTCATTTACAGTCGCACTCGCCTAGCCTACGAGCGATACGCTCATGAGAGACTTGAGCTCATAAGTCATAGGAGACAGATTCTGATTCCCGATTTCCGAGTCTCTAGACTTCAATGTCAAAAGAGTCGCCAACGTTTTTTCCCAAGGAGTCGAATATATGCGGGCTCGACTATAGTTCTCTCGGGTGGAGCACCCTGTTCCGGCCGTCAACTATGTGACAGCCGTCATGGGAAGCTTTATTCAGAGAAGCTCATGAATTTGCGGTTCGTTGGAATCATTGACCCATGATGAGTTTTTGATCCACGTTCAAAATCGGGTATTTCACCCTTCCTGCAAAGCAATTCTCACTATGAATACACAACTTGTTGAGAGAACTCACGATCAAGGGTGACAGCTTGGGGATGTCCGAGAACCCTGGGTGAAGTGGCTCGATCGACTTTCCTGGCGAGCTGATTACTGTATTCCTTCGCCGACTCGAGACTGACTTCACTCTCGCAGCCTTCATCTTCTTCAGGCACCGGAGGGACGGCGTTGGCCGCTCCGGGCTCGAGACTCAGCGTTTTGTCGTACCAAGGATTGAAGACCCGTAGGGGTCCGCCGTCCAGACGAACTCTCTCGAAGTTGATGGCGACCTTGTCGCTGATCTGTAACAGATATCGAGAGCCATTCATTCAAGGGCACCGTCAATGGAGACTATCAATGGAAGGATGACTGAATTTATAGAGGGTCGACGTGACGCTAATCCCCCGGCGATATCATGCGTGAAATTCGATTTGACGGATCCTTACCGAATTCTCTTACGCCGAAACGAAGCTATCGAGCACATAGAATCAAGTGAGAACGATGATTTTGTTTCACGACAGCCTCAACGGCAGAGATTTTTTATTTATTTTCTTACTTCAAAACTGCAGGTTCGCCCCTCCGAGAATACCGAAATCGTCTTCTTCTGGCGGGGCGACACCAGCCGTATTGACAGCGTTCGTAAAATGTCCTCGTTCTCTGAGACGAGCCTTCAACAAAGTGTTAACCGCAACGGCAATCCGAACGTCTAACTGAGCAACTTCTGTTTTGAGTTTTTGCAGCGATTTCTTTATGTGGATCAGAGGTGTCCCGTCGGTCATCGAGGTGCCGCGCTCGTCGAGCTCGTGTTTGATGTCTTCAACTTCTTGAGAAATAGACGCCAAAATGCGTGACCTTTCCGTCACTCCACCCGAGACGGATTTATACTGCTCTTTCGTCCTCGTCAATTCTTCCTGCGCTGCTTTCAGCTCCTCGAGAAGTCCCTCGGACTGTGAATTTATGTACTTCTCACGTTTGGCCAGTTTCTCGAGAGTCTGACCGATGCTGTTGTACAGAGTCTCGAGCTGTCCTTTGGTTGCAGCTAGACTGGCGTCCATTTCTTCCTTATATTTGTGTATTTGGCCGAGATGCGACCTCCAATCCTTGGGATCGGGTCGGATCGTGATTTTTAGTTGAGGCAGGAGTCTCTCCACCTCGAGTCGCCACTCATCGGTGTCCACATCGGACAGCAACGGTGGCTTCAGTGGGTAGCGCGATAACGGAGCGTCTTTCGTCAGTTGCAGAATGGGGTCTCGTTGATCTTCTTGAGGCCTGCCGCTCTCTAGATCGAACAAGTCGTCGTTCTGCACAATCAGGGCCTGTTCATCATCGAGCGCTTCTTCACCGTCAGGGTTCCAAGGTATACCGGCTTGCTCTAGAGCCGCATCGGCTAACGCGTCGACGACGTTGATGACTTGCTCGCCCCAGCCTCGTTGGAGCCGAGCTTGACTGAAGTCTTCGTCGATGCCCAGTTGTCCGAGGGCGTAGAGGATCTGAGTGATAACAGCTCGGAAATCGTCGTCACGTCTCGGCAGATCGAACGGGAGACCGCATTTACGCACCAACCATGCCGATATACACACGAACGTATAAAGTTGTTCTTCGGGCTTAGTTTTCATGGCGAAATAGTGTTTGTTGATCGGCTGCACATTCTTGAACAATCGTTGAAACTCTTTGAAGTATTCGAGAAGTTTCAACTTCTCGAAAAGATCCTCCATGACAATGAACGGAAGATACTTTTGGGATGAATCCTCCACGATATGAGTTGTTGGACGCTCCATGGCCCCGATGGACTCGGAATCGGAGGCGGAAGACGCAGACTTGCCTCAGCACAGGGCATAAGCTCGCAACTGCACTTCCAACGATTGTTTAAATTAGGCCGACTGCTCCAAATAAACTTAACTTCTGGGGCCCGTCCGACTGCTCGTTCAGTCGGTGTGTTTTCTCGCGACCGAACGTTGTCACAGCGGAACACCCACGCGAGTAGGTTACGACCCGGTGGTCGACCACTACGCAGCGGCAGGCTGGAGCCGCCAGGTCTGGCCGTCGACTCGGAGTGTTTGTGGTGGACCTCGAATGGTTGCCACGGGCGACCCGCTGCCCTCTTGGGTCGATGTTGTACTCAGAAGCCTTTGCACTCATTCAAACGGGTAGACTGATTATTATTTCAGTTTAGGACTTCTTCCAGGGGGACCCACTATCGGGGAATTCATCCGACTCGAATCGGAATCCTGAGAACGAACGACTCCGGATCCTGAAATTCCCTTGCAGGAGAACTCCGGGCAGCTGGAGCCTCACTCGAGGATTTTCCATCAGGAACACAGTCGGTGTAGGCGAAGTTCCTCCCGAACTCCATGGCAATGGGAGCGAGGCACGAGCGGCGCTATTTCGCTCAGAACTCATTGGATTCCGAATCGTACTGCCTTCGACCGGACTTCGAAAAATGGGAACGCGAAACGCGAGAGGATGGTGTCACATCGGATAAATGAACATCCGCTCTGTCGAACAGCTGCTGTCGGCGTTCGAATCTTCCAAACTCAGGGCGCGGCGGATGCGTCCAGTCCGTCTTCGGATAGGACGGCTTCGCGACGACCGACGCGAGGACGATACCTAGGGTCGTGAGAATTCATTTTCAGTCATGCTGGGAAATCCCTCTTGTAATACAAAACAATCAAACAAACGTCCTGAAGGACTTCTGCTGCCCCGATAGTGATTACGGAGAGGATATCGTCATTGGAAACGTTTAGTGGGGACTCGATAAACGTCACACTTATTCCGAATACCATTCATAGAGAGCCGTAGCGTATCTATCGCGTCGTCCGCCGTATCTGATCGCTGCGTTGAAGCTTCTCCCTCTCGTATTCTACGGGGATGGTAATTTGTAGTCGCGACACATCGACTCGGATATCAATGGCTCAGGATCCACGCGATCCAAAACCGAAAGTCATCGGGACGCCCACCGAGACGTCTGAGAGAAGCTTTGCAATTAATTCACAACCACAGAAAGCAGACGGATCGGGTGTCGCTTGTCGAGTTTTCACATCGAGTGATTCGCATCCTCAGTCGTCGATGATGCAGTGCTTCCTCGAGAGCTTAACTCATCATGTGCCGCTCAGGGTGAGGCAGCAGCCGATATTTTTTTGTTTCCCACACCCATTGGTAGCTGGCAGGAGCCGTACAGCATGGCACCTTAAAAACTGGAGTCAGAAAGCCTCAATGATGAGAATCCGTGCTAGCCTGCTGCTTCTGTCGTTGGTGTGGGGTTTCTGGTCGGATTCGGCTGACGCCACCGTGGTGCCCCTTCGACTGGCTCTTGAAGCGCTGCCGGCGGCTAGCACCAACCCGAGCACCATTGGCAGCCGTGGCAGCAGCAGTAGGAGCATCAACAAACCCCACTGCCAACGAGGGGGCCCATGAAAAGACAACAGATGCTTCCGGACCGATTGACAGTCCCTCTGCGACGTCGAGCTGCAGTGACGTAAAACATGGTGGCTGAGGCTAACAGGTGTCGATCGAATTTCCTGCAAACACTCTGCCGGTATCGGTGTCATGCTAAACGTCGGTCTCGAAATTCGCAGTTCGGCTTAGCCTGGGCATCGGCCGGGCAAAGTACCGGCGAACGGTTTCCCTGCATCCGGAATAGAAGTATTTGACTCGCACGAGGAGTCGTTGTGTTCGCTCCATGCGTATTTTCTGTTCACTCTTCATCGTGTTCCCCCCACAATCATGGAATTGTTGGACTGCATATCGCGGGAAGTAGCTTCCGGCCGCCCCTGAGTAGAAAAGACTGAAGAGTGAAAGACAGAGCTTAATTGCTCCGTTGGCAGTTTCCGCTCAGGAAGAGCCCGTCCGGGGTATTGCCTTCAGTTGTCGTGCCTTAGGCAAAGTCGGACAAGTGCGGTGGCGCCATCTGTTCGGAGCTCTCGGAAGTACTCTCATTCTCAGTTAGAGCACTTGACCGCCAGGTGGCGCTCTTTGGCGATTTCTTCTCTTTCCGAAATGTACGGCAATGAAATGACACTATTCGAGAAAATAATATATTCCTGCTCCGAGACTGCCCAGCGTGGTGATCATGAACGTTCAAACCGCCGTCATTCCCACACGGAATCGGAATCCCGTCCCGGGGGCTTGGGAGTGCGACTCCGGCTGCGGAGTCGCAGTGATGAACATAGCGTTTTCCACTCGATCGGTTGGTTGCTCGAAACTCATCAGTATCCGCTTCGGAATTCGTAGGGTTCGAGGGCTCACCATCTCGATGGATGCGCACGCATAGCTCGAGGCTGGAACAGCGTGTGTTGAATAATTTCAACTCGAGAGGTTTCTACTCGGAATGCGTACGCCGAGTTAGACTTGGAAAATTTCGTGGGCATCGGCTCAAGCCCCGAGGGCGGTCATGCACCGTTGCGTCTACCATTAGCTACGAGATGCGTGCGAGACTCGAGTTCACCGCAGGTGGAGGATCTCAAACGAGACTTCGAAAAGCATCTCTCAAGTGGAAACACACGCACCGTCGGTTGTCGAAATAACCTTCGGCGAAATCACTCGGAACGAAAGCGCTCCCTCGCAAATGAGCCGATGGATTCGCAGAGCATCGGGATTCCTTTGTCTGTCCCGCATCGGGCTTCGAGCATCCTGAGAAGCGGCTAGTTTGCCGAAGGATCGGCAAAGCGATCGTGAGAGCTTTGTGACAGGTCCACAGTGCTCGTTGTCAAGGAAAACTCAGTCACCGACGAACAATACGACAAGTCATCACAGGCACGAGCTCTCGTCGAGCGTATACATCGTCGCCCGAGAAGACGAAGAAGGGGAGGCCTGGATTCTGGATCCACCCATAAATTTTGACAGAGAAAAAATCAAGAAACCCAACCAAGAAAAGTTGGGTGTTGCTCCGAGAGGGTTGAAATCTATTGTCAGCCTCAGATGGGTCGCGATATCCGTGTTCGTGTGCGGTAAGTGTTGAGCGACACACATCAATTTCAGTCGGTAATATCATCTTCTGCTCGCAGAGCTCATATCCCGTTCGGGGGGAGGATCGGTCTCATCGATACAGATCACTGAATACCGGAATATCGCTCGTTTTACACCGAACGGCTGGGGTCCTGTGGAGAGACCTGAAGAAGAGAAAAGCTCCTTCCAGGATCATACCGTCCAAAAGAAGCGGATGACTACTGACGAGTCATTCAGCTCGCCGTTACCCGTCAGGACTGTACGCGAGGCAGTGAGTCGAGCGTTGCGACTCCAGCCAGAAGCATTCGCACGGACACCAGAGCGAGTCATTACCAACAAGTCATCCCGGTGATATTCGGTCGGTATTTGAATATCATTGGCCTTGTGAGGTAATGTATCAGCACAGACAATGCAGCATCATGAATACATTATCTCTGCCACGCACCAACTCTTCTCGTAGGAAGAACGTCAAGCGAACCAACCACATGGAAGATACTCCGCTGCGTGTCGGGCTTCCCCAGACTTCTGATTGTTCGAACGAGATGGATTCCCTCGAAGACTGTACATTCTCCAGGGACCCGGAGTCCCATTGGGCGAATGAAAACCCTACACCCGCTGTGGCCGATTCACCTAAACCGGAAGGAACTCGTCCAATTGGATTCGGACGAGCGGTGGAAGGGACGAGCTGGCACGTACGATGATGTCCCTGAAATTTCTCGAAGGCTCCCGATTCGTTGTATCGCTCCTCTTGCGACGTGAGTCGCTTTCTGTTTGGAATCTTTTGATTCAATTCCCTCGCGGTCTCAAAGCGAGTCTGCCAGCCATAGCATTCAAAAAAATAAACGAGCCTGCGCTCTCTCGCTCGGCCGTAGACGGAAGACTGGAAGAACATAACGGACGGACAGAACGACACAGCAGCGATCAAGAAACCTAAATCGGCTCATGTTACGGATAGCCTCTCTCATGATCTTCTTGTGGCTCCGTCCCGCCGAGTTTCACACACCCTCGCACGAGAGATTGAGCGACAGACTTTTATCGTTATGTTTCTCTCACACAACGCGTGGAGACAGAAAACGCCATCGGCAGAAGGCGATCAGACCAGGTCGGAGAGAGTGAGAAACACTGGAGAGCCATGAAATCATTGACATGTATCTGGAGAATGTTTATACGATCCATAACAGAGTGAGCGGGAACCGGACGAACCGAATACGAGACGCCAGGTGCTCCTCTTGGTCCGAGAGGGCGTTCGTCTGGAAACCGACTGCACAAACTGGATGAGCAAAGTCCACGACGTTACTACAGGGCGACGAATGTCTCTTCGACTCACCATTCCTGAACTCGGACGTACGAGGCGAGGGATCCGATCCTAATCCCCGCCGGACTCTTCTACAGCGAACCCAGAGGACGTGATCTCAGCGGACGTATCTACAGTTCTATCTATAGTTCAGAGAAGTACTCAGAGGAACAGAAGACTGATTCCGACAGCCCCACCTCGTCGAAGATCCTTCCGCTCGCGCCGGAGTACGTGCGACCTCGAACTACCGCTCCGAAACTCCCAACAAGCCGTCCACTCGGCCGCCACAGGGGACGGGAACGTCAGGAGCATTTTCGCCCAAATATAAGACGCCACCGACAGGATACCGATGCGCCATAGGACCTTTCGCGTTTCGCGCCCCATGAGCCAAGGTCCATCAAACCCCCAAGGATACAGAGAGGCTATTCCGAGACACCCCCTCATGCGCAGTATGGCGATCGACTCGCGATGCAAGGCGAAGAAAGTTGA